TTTTTTTTTTTTTTTAAAGAACTTCCATATCTTCACTGCATCTATATCGATTTCACCAATTAATGGAACATTTTAGTAAAGTAAAACTTCATTCGTTTCAGTACTGTGGCTACTTTGAGCTGTGTTGTTACAATTCCCTCGTTGTATACATATGGACAAATTGTTCACTCTTCATTATACTCCGAGGTAAATTTAAAGCAGTTTGACACTAAAACAACCACAGCAGTCAAATTGAGGTACTAATCGATAAAATACTGTCTACATGTTACAATACCGATATTTGTAAGCATTATGCCTTCTACAGTGACGCGTGTTACGCAGTGGTCGGAGGCGGCAATACATATGGGATCGATCGCCGCGCGCGTGGGCCACCAAGCCTCCATTTTTCCAGGGTCGGTAAATTGTACCAGACTTGTCTCAGAGGATAGCAGCACTGACTCGATAAATCGGTAGGTCAGCGCGAGTCATTGTAAAGGCCAAGTATGCATTCGGTCACCTTCAACGGTGCTTTACGAACTCGAATGCATAGCGCACCCTCAGCGATAGATCAACACCGAGAGCTTTTTAGCATTTTACGCCTCCTACTGCTGTTGTAACAAGCGGAACACAGATCAATCATAAACCGATTTACAACATTCTTACGAACAAAAAATCTTTCATTTGCATTTTCACTGACAACTATTCTGATGACGTCAATCATCCTTATCTGCGTGACATTGTACACAGCGAACCGTAGTACTAATATACTTTTAGGTGGATTTCTGTCGGCATCGTAGTCATGAGCTACTAGCACAGTACGATCATATGCGTACTATGATAGGGAATTACAGAAAGCTTGTAGCCAAGAGAACGACAAAATTTAATGATGGTATCTATTCACCTATTTTAATAGGGATGTATAAACAAAATCGTCCCTATTAGTAAAATAGACTCGCATAAAACTATAGTGTTCCAGGTCAAGTGCTCAATATTAGATCTGAGGACTCAACAGTAGATGAGGAGCAATGCTGCCCTTGCATGGTAGGACCAGCAGGACCACCGGGACCACCAGGACCAGATGGATTAGATGGGAGAGACGGTTCACCAGGTACAGAAGGAGAACATGGACAAGATGCGGGGTTAAATGATATACCAAACGAGAATGATTTGTGTTTCGACTGTCCATCGGGACCTCCAGGTCCACCTGGTAGACCAGGAATAAAGGGCCCACCAGGAAAACCAGGTAACGACGGCCAACGAGGAGCTCCTGGATCACCAGGAAAACAAGGAATACCTGGACCACCTGGGAACTCTGGCAACCGTGGTAGACCTGGTCTGCAAGGCCTTGATGGGTCACCAGGTATATGTGAAGAAATTGTGATACCTGCTGGCCCGCCTGGACCAAAGGGACCTATTGGTGAGCAAGGTCAGGATGGACCAGCTGGAAAACCAGGAACTCCTGGAGCAGATGGGCCACAAGGACCACCTGGAGATCCTGGTAGAGATGGTCCGCCTGGAGAACCAGGACTTCCTGGCCCTCCTGGAATAGGTGGAGAAGTTGGAGTGAGCGGAGGTTGCGAACACTGCCCATTACCTCGCACAGCGCCGGGTTATTGATTATGTAACTGTGATTATGTAAAGTATGTAAGCATTATATCATAATTTAGTATCACAGTTCTGAAAAAGAATATAAGTGGAAATGAATAAAGATAATCACAACGTTTAACTTCTAAAAAGGTTATTCAAAGGTTCAAATTTGGCCCAGGTCCAAGCTTTGCAAATATCTAAGCAACACTGTGGTTGAACAAAGTTACACTACATCTCAATTTCACGATCTATTACGAGGAAATCAGAATATAACAAAGATAGACTATAGAGTGCATACACTTATTTGGAATGTTTTCACATAATTCACTGGGTTGAAAAAACTGTCACCTGTTGAACGGTTTGGAATCATGTCCTTGAGCAATGATCACCAAGCCGTCGTGCTCCGATGGTTGCTTCACGTCCGTACGCATGGGTTTACCGAATGTTACCTATAAAATATGACAGAACAAAGTTCTTGAAACAAAACAATCGATAACCCTTGTCATCAACAGTGTCACTGAAAACCATACCTGCTGTTTACCACAACCATCAATGGCAACCGTCACAATCTTCGTAATTAGACCACTCTTATTGGCTACTTCGAATACCAGCAAATTATCACTCAGAATAATGTACTAAAAGAAAGAAGGTATATAGGAGAAATAAATAATGGACAAAAACGTCTAGTGACCTTAAGCACATCTTCACACTCGTATTTTAACTGATAAAACCGATCAGACAAACAATGTAGAATTAGTCTACATAATAATACAAGCTTGCGCGTGTGGCGCAGTGGTTGGAGGCAACCTGCAACACACATGGGATGGATCCACACGCACGTGGCTCACAAAGCATTCCATCCTTCCGGGGTCGGGAAATTGGCACCAGACTTGTCTGGGAAGCAGCACTGGCTCGATACATCGGTAGGCCACCGCGAATTATTGTAAAGACCAGATATGCATTAAATCACCTCCAACGATGCTTAATGAAGTCGAATGCATGGCGCATCCCTCAGGGATTGATCAACGTTGACAGTTTAGTCCTTTTCTATTCTTTATTAACACAAGAAAGTTAATGACTAGTGATTACAACTAACACAAAGAAATTGGACAAATGGAGGGTATGTTCAGATAGAGGACAACTGTGGCTCGCAAGACCATATATATGTATATATATATGTGTATATATGTACATATATGTACGTACATATATACACATGTGTGTATATATATATATCGATTATTTAAGCTGAGTTTTATAGAGTCGGATTTTTGAGTTATCGCGAATGTATCATTATCTCGACTATTGTCTCCTATAAGATACAGTTAAAGGCAAGTAATCAAAGTGTAACCTACCCTTCCTGCTGCTGTAACCATCCGTGTTCCTCCACATCTGTGAATAGGCAACGGCCACACTGGATCATTGTCAGTTCGATACCCTTGGGTAACTGTTGCGTGGGGAGCCGGATTGCGCGAGTGGCTCAAAAGGAAGCCTCTCCGCTAAAACGTAACCCACTGAATTCAAATATAACACCTCAAAGGCTGTCTACTGTATCACTTACATATAAAAAAAAACGAGGATAAACCGAATAGTGACCTCTCCTGAACTTTTACTTCCAAATCCACTATCAATGCAGCCGCTAGTTGTGGTATAGGGACGACTTCTGATTGTCGGTGGGTTGCTAGCAGTTCTTCGAATGCGTTGCTCATTATTACGACCGTTCTAAATACAAATCGTACAATTCAGAACTCAAAGAAATTGCACTCCATTTTTCCCACATAGGTAGTGGTCATGTGGAAACTTCTTTTACAGTCAGAATCCCCACCAAGGTTCTACAAAGAACCTTTAGCTGTGAAATGAGGAACTGTAACAGAACTCAAAACTATTTGATGTACTTTTAGGAAACACTCCTCAAGATCAAACACTCACAGCATTGGTTTCATAACGCTACACAAAACCGGACCAAACTTAAGACGTTCATGCTAGCTGGTCTACCAAATTCGCCTAATTGCTACGAAATGTGGTTTTTGGATCGGGATGCAAAATGTATGCCGACAGTGTTCCATACAACAATACAATATATACCTACTTCCTTATGTTCACTTTAGTGTGAGTTACACAAATACACATGGTACTTCAACAAAACTGAGTCATTTTAGAGACGTTAAACTTGAACTAGTGGAACTATTTCGCCACTATGTCGTTACTTCTTATTTACTGCCTAGTCCTTTTTAATGGCAGGGTATTAGGTGAAATATGACCATAATAATGTTGGGGTATTTGCAAAACTCCGGATCGCTGGTGAATGCGGTGAACAACGAACCCATTGACGGGTGAATGCTGACCGCAAACAATAGGTCAGTAAAACGGCTAAGAGAAAAGTGAAACGAAAGACTCGAATGGCGTGGTGGTGAACATATTAGTCAACGGAAAAGATGGTAGCGCATTCGGTCCACACCGCAGACACCTGCGGTCCGGAGTTTTGCAAGTATCTCAACATCGTTATGGTTACTTTGCCACTGTGCCGAAAGGTACTCTGGTTGAAGAATTTTTGATAGTTGCCCTCTAAGTTGTGTCATATGTAGCTAAGAAATTAACACCATTCACCTCAACGAATTGAACATTTTCATTCCTACGTTCCCTTGAAAACTCCCGCGAATGCTGTCGGTCACGAGATCGTCCTGGCAAGCCGCGATCACCCATTGCCGACCAGTCCCGAGATAATGAAGAGTTGTCGCAGTTATCCACCATAAAATTTGATTGTTGAATATCTAAAGTGATGTAGAATTAGTATATGAAAATTAAACAATGCCGCTTTTTAAACAATTGCTAACAAGTTCTCGATAACCAGGAAAAAAGAAAAAGACGTAAAACGCGAAACTCTTATAGTCATCACATTGTCGTGAATGTGCTAAGAGTACACAGGCTCATAGACACATTGGCCTTGACCTATGCCTATTTATTTAACGCATACATATGGACGTATATATTGTATATATATATGTATATATGTACACGTATACGTACATATGTGTATACGTATGTGTATATGTATACATGTATATATATATATATATGTATATACTTAAAATGTCACCTCTCATTTTAAAATTGCCTAGAGTTCGTTTTCTAAAAATTCGAAAACATTTCTACAAATTTACGAATTACTCTACACATACGCCGAAGAGTGTATGCTTTGCTGGATGATATTCAGCCCACTCAATCGCTACAGTTTTTGAAGCATCTGTCCGAAAATGACTTGCAAGTTGAAGACGATCAGAACTCCATGCAAACAAACGTAGATCCTAACGTTTTTTTATTTCGGCCAAGAAGATTCACTATTAGTTGGAAAATATACACTTAAAGTTAAAAATCTAAACCATTTTCTGGCACGTTTGAGTCATATACAATTCAGATTGTCACGAAAGTGTTATAGAAGCGCCCTCATTTTTAAAACATTTAGGAGCTACTCCTCAAAAATCTTCGATGTGAAACAAACAAATCAATTACTAAGAAGTTAACGAACCATTCAAGGAAATCCTCTTGCTAACATCCGTTTCCATCATACTTTCAATTAGCTCAACAGCAGATATACCAAGACCATCGAAACGTATGGAACCTGTTAATGAAACACGGTTTCAAGACCACCTCTTATCACGAACCTACAAAGACTACAATAACCTAACATCGACAAGACAAGATGAAAAGATAAACGACAAAGTTCTCGACGTTGATCAATACCTGAAGGATGCGCCATGCATTCGACTTCACTGAGCATCGCTGGAGATGACTGAATGCATATATATGTGACCTTTAAAATGACTTACGGTGGCCTACCGACGTATTCAGCCAGTGCTACTGCCCTGCTAGACAAGTCTGGTACCAATTTGCCGAGCCCGGAGGGATGAATTGGTAGGCTTAGGGTGCATGGATCGGTCCCATGTCCATGTGTATTGCAGATGCCTCCAACCATTGCGCCACACGATATACACGATTTAAAAAAAATGAGTGAAGATCCTTGCCTTTGGATGGTGGGTCAGTTCCAGTTAAGATTGTGTACAAAACGCCACCTAGAGAGAAAACATCAGCTGCTTGATCGTATTCTTGCTTGAAAACCTGACTGCACAAGAAGGTTTTAGCTTTCATCTATCAGTAGATAACACGTATAACCCACTTACGGCGCAATATACCCAGGAGTACCGACTACAGTACAAGCGGTTTCTCCTTTCCGCAAATACGTTGCAAGACCAAAATCACAGAGCTTCTGAAAATACTCTTCGAGCAACGGTAATGTGTTTTAATTGAAAAATGACTAAAACGCTAACGACGGATATCTTTTCCGAAGAGAAGATCCTGCTAATTAAGACATTTCCACAGGAAATATCTCTGTGCAGTACTCCTTCTCGATGCATGTACTTCACAGCGCTAATGATCTGCCTTAGGACGTACGCGGCTGAAATGTGGATAACATTAACACACCCAAAGAAAGTGAATTGGATGGCGCTAGAAAGCTATACTGAATATAAAACAGACAGAGATAAAGAGTATCTTGTACTTGCCCGCTCGGTCAGTTAACGGTCCATTTTTCTTCACATGCGAACGCATTGACCCCAATTCACACAATTCCATTACTACGTATGTATCAGTGCCTTCAACGAAGTCTTCGTAAAACTAAAATCATGTTGATAAGGGTTAGGAAATCGCAAAAACATTGAACCATACTTTTCTATACCTGAACAATATTTGGATGGCGTAGACACCTTATTGCTCGGATCTCGCTCTTTATGCGTTCTGCTGCAGCACGTGAGCATATCTAAAGAACAAAGATTAGCATGCAATATCAACTAATAGGGCGGATAGCACGGTGGTAGTGACGTCGGTCATCACGAGCATCGTGTTGGTTCGATTCCGCCCCGGGCCAACCAAGTCTCTCATTCCTCCGGTGCCGGAGAATTGGTACTGGACTTTTCCGGGAAGGAATCACTCTCTGCAATGCGATTCGACCAGCACTCTACGACATTCAAGATGAAATGAAAATCCTTAAGAAGTAGCGGAAGCCACACGTAAAAGTTCGAAGGTCTTCGTGGAAATGAATGCGAGGAAACGAATCGAATGTGAAAACCCCACAGTAGACGTGAAGGCGGGTCATATAAAAACAAAAAAAAAATGGAAAGAAATTCTACCAAGTCTGAAGCAATTCGAAGAAACGAACACCAATTTGAGAAAAAAAAACTGTGCAAACCCTTCCAGAACCTTCTTCAAAGCAACACGTTCACCATTAGGCTGAGTGGCTGCATATACTATTCCGAAACCTCCACGACCAATCTCTTGCAAATTACTAAAGTCCTAAACGCAAAAACGAAGAGGAATGGGAACAAATGGAAACAATGTGGATCAACAATGACCAAAACCCCACATCTAACCGTAGTCTGCTATTTGTAGACATTTCATCTCCGAATGTAAGAACTAAACACGAAGATAGACAGCCATGAACCTCGCCTTCTCAACCGGAGCTGCTCGCGAGTTAGGATGTGGGAACAGGGACGCAGTGTTTGAAGCGAGCTCGCTTCCCGCGAATGCGCACGCACTATTGCACAACACGACAGACGACGATTTCTCACATATCTGATGCTGCTCTTTTACGCATAGTGCTTAGCAGGTTATATAAGTGATTGTGGTAGAACACTCTGTTCTACCACATCGTCTGTTTTGTCCCTAATGTGCAAACTGTTTCTCGGTCAACATGAATTGCATATTACAGTCCACCATTGGTTCATAAAAGAAGAAATACAGCTCTCGGCGCTGATCAATCCTTGAGGGATGCGCCATGCATTCGGCTACATTAGACATCGTTGGAGGTGATTAAATGCACATTTGGCCTTTACAATGACCAGCAGTGGCTTACCGATGTATCGAGCTGCTATCCTCCCAGATAAGTCTGGTACCAATTTACCGACCCCGGAAGGATGGAAGGCTTTGTGGGCCATGGGCGCAGGGATCGATTCCATGTGTGTCGCAGTGGTGCCTCCAACCACTGTGCCACATGCACCCTGTGGTTGTGATACCGTAATTAAAATATGACGGCAGAGAGCTAAGAAAGTACTAGTAGTTCTACTACAGCATATAACAGATGCTTTTTATAATTAATGAGGTTTTGGCTTACTTTCTGGACTATGAAGTACAGTTCAGTACAAGTACCGGTGTCTAACTGTCACATAGTGTAAAGGCAGTTATTGTGTGGTCTGGTTAAGTGGGATCATCACGTTTAGAAAATGGAAAGAACGCCGTTTAATCGAAGAATTAAGCGGGGATACGTTGTAGTTCACTTTTATTTCTTAACACACCATAGTGGGGGCGATAATGCACTTGTAGTGATGCTGGTCATCACGAGCAACGTTTTGGCTCGACACCACACCGGACCCACAGTCTCCCGTCCCTCCGTGGTATCGCACTCGTATGGATCCAACTCACCCTCAAACCAGCGTAGGAACACAAACACATCCATCCAAGGACTCGGAGCAGAAGCGACTAGACCAGTATTTAACGAAATTCATAGAGAAGACAACAGTCCTCATACAGCAGCCGAACACACAGGTGAAAGCTCAAGGACCTTCGTGGATGATGGATGAGAGGAAACGAATGGAATGCCTGAAGTGCCGGGACCTGCACAATAGATTTGGAAATGGATCATGTAAAAGAAAATAAATGGCATAGCCCGGATCTCTCTCACCCAGTGATCCTTAGACAGTTAGCCCAAGGCGCGGGTCCACAACGGAAAGGTAAGGCTTTAAACGCAAACGAATTGCGGTGTTCCGTTTGCTCAGAGGCGTAAGTCCATTTCTTACTCAAGCATACTACGATGGGTGTGATTTTATGCGTGAGAATTGCATCCTTAACTCGGCCAGAAACCTACACGCTAAAAAGATAGAACTACTGGGGAAATAATTTCGATCCTTCAACAACGAATATGTTCCTTGTCTACGCTTTCAAAACTCGTCTAGCAACCATGCTTATTCCTCGATGGAACAGCAAGGGCAAAGGCCATTATCTCGTCTTTTTGTTGAGCAAACATGAGGTTATTAACAGTAAGATTTATTAAATTCAAGCTTGCTGACGTTTCGGCAGTTTCGCCTTCTTCATAGCTGTTTTGTTGTTCCTAAGTCCACCGCTTACTGTTGGAGACCAGCCACACAGAGTCATAGATGGGTGAGAATATGCCACATAATGCCATCATTCATTGGAACGAGTATGGATGAGCTGACGAGATCTATAGACCAGACACCTAGGTCTGGAAGGTGCATGGTTAAGAAATGCAGTTCCATTGTGCTAATACAGATTGGATGTGGATTTATAGACGCTTGTTTTTTGGTGATGACCGAGCGAGGAGCGAAAAGACACTGTCCACTAAACTAACATAATGATGGACAACTCACATCAGGCGATTGTAGTAGAAACGGTGCTATAATGTTCTCACCATAGGTGGTGGTTGAGTATCTATGGTAACTCGGAATTTCAGGACCTTCTTGTCAATGTTAGACGCCAAAACTTCCAGGAGAGATGGCTGTAACAAGATCGACTGTTTCATAGTAGACATAAGATTTTGCCTTACCTATAATGTAGCTGTCTTAAATGTGAAAATATGTGAATACATGGTAACTTGCAGTTGAGATAGTAGTAGAGACGGTGGTATTGGTCTCTTCAACATAGGTGGTGTTGGAATATTTATGGGTAACTCGGGATTGTACAAGAACAGTAAAATAGGATCTAGAACAGCACCAACATTAGCTGATGCTGCAGAGGTTGGGAAGCAATTAGTCGTCGATTGATGAAAGAACGGACAATATGTGTAATATGTCATCGAAGCCGCAATAAAACCACAAAAGCCAGATTGTAGTATAAACGAAGCGTAAGAACAAGCTTCGTATCGATTAACAAACAAAGGACGTCAAGAAGTGGAACTACTGTGAGCCAATTTACTGGAGCTTTATATTCAGATAATGACAGAAAATCTTATACAGAGCATACATATTAACAGCAACTTTCCACTGTCAGACAAACATCAACTAACTCTGCACAATTCTTATAGAGCCATATGTAAGAATTTATTAATGCAGTAGACCTTACAGACTCAAGAAGAAGTAGTATTCACGAAACTAGGCCCACATGTAGGAGCCCCGTATACTATTACAACAGTCTAAAATAGAAGTTAATCAGAATCACTAAACGACGACACCGATGAAGATTCGGAGCGACCTCGACGTACACCAGGATTGAGAGACAACGGTGGAGTATCGGCAGTATTCGGTGAAGGTGCACATGGTTGGCTAAACATTCCATTATATAAATGAATTTGTCATTTAACCCTATTAGTTATGCATCGTAAAATTCAAAAACCAATGCATGGATTTTTCACTCACTCAAGAAGCGATGGGTCAACTCCTTCAGACTGCATTTTTAATTTAACCGCGGCCTCCACCACACCCTTAAGATGGGTAATCGAGATAACTGATGCCAAGTACTAGTAAAAATGTTGGTGTTATCATACCAATTTTAGCATTTTGAAATACTTTGTGAAGGCTGGATCGTCTTTAACGAGTACTACAGATTTTGTAGGTTCATCACTTTCATTGCTGTTCGTAACAGATGCTACGGCTTCTCCTGATGCCTCTGATAAATCTCCCTAAAAGCGTAAATGAACTGTAATACCAATGAAGCAGGAAAATGTCACTAGTTTCTCTTATGAGACCTGAGGCCCCAGCGTAACATCTGGGCCTGGCTCCTTACGTTTGCACAGTACTTCGTTTTCGACCGCAGCAGCCTAAAAAATGGCCTTAGCGGTAGGCGAATCGATGTCTACACTATCAGTCCCTACTCCCGATGTTCTCACTTTAAAATTAAGTGGTTGTTAACAAAATATCCATTTCTGTTTGATAAGGACTGATTTGAGCAGCCATACCAGCCATCCTAGTGCATCGTCAAAAAGAGGCATATGTGGACCAACGAACCTCAGGTGAATGACATCTAACTTCTTTAACATCGGCGTGTAACTCCAAGATATTTGATGACGGATCAGGAACCATCGCCAACTAAGATAAAGATGGAGTAACAATGCTTGGAAAAGTATAAGCAGAGACGAAAGTATTATACTATTCTTGATCGAACCTTTGCCTCCAGTATCTTAAGCTTGGTATCGGCAGACCGAAGCTTTCGATCCGCCTCCAAAATTGCAGTTTCCGCCCGAGTCACGAAAGTATTGAGGAAGTCAAGCATTTTGAGAAGGTAGCAGTTCACAAAGGCAACAAGTCGACGCCGATTTACTGGTGCAACCTAAACACCGAATAAGGAAAAACTTCAAGACTGCCTCGTCATATATTAAGTTCGACAATGGACCTATAACTAACACACTGACAAAAGATTTGAAAATTATGAATACGTAAGGTTGATTTAAATTTCCGGATTAGATCCCAACAACAGTAGACACTAGCAGAAATGAAGATTTATTCATGTAACAAATGCCAGGACTGGCTATCTTTTAACCTCGTTATTGATAAATCAATCAATAATCCACTGTTTTTTCGGTATTCTTTTGTACGGACGCGGAGTGGTCTACCCGTCTACACCGCCTGTATGACGGCCTATGAACAACGTAGAATTGACTAATATGTCCTAACGGTAGAGAGGGTGACTGCATCAGTCCGGGTACGGTTTATCTCAACTCTTGTAAAACGTGCGAGGACGAATATACTGACGAAACGGGTAGACCACTCCGCGTGCGGATAGAAGATCGAATGGGTAAATTTAAAGTTAAACCAAATATTCTAGAAATATCTTAGTAAGCGCCCAAAGAGCACTGAGACATAGCGGGGAAGATTTTGAAGTAGAAGTTACCATCCTCACACACGAATCGAAAACACCAGCGCGCAAAAATCTCAAGGTATTCTGGATAAATCTCAAGAATCCGAAAATGAACCGCAAGGAGGAATGCCTCGTAATTACGGGTGATCTCGCGCCACACCACAGGTTGAGTTTTTAACCTAACTCAGGCACATTTCACGCCCATGTATTACCCTGTACAGTTGGTCTCCACTAAATAACTGGAAAACGGGAAACAACGGGAAAAAAAGCAAAACGATAGGTGTTTGAAAGAAACTGTTCATTGTGTAAACGTACACTCAAATTTTACATTTTGTCTGTTTAGGTTATGCTAATGTTTGGCTAAGTAGACTGCACGTCAATTTGACCTTTCGAGGCTCTGGGCGAGGCGAAACCGCCGATACATCAGCTGTGGTAAACTACTAAACACTGTAATAGCAACCTCGTCTTTGCTCATCAAAAAATAGTGGAAATTATTCAGCATCAACATCTATTAATTTCGACACTGAAGACTCGAAACTAGTTTTCCAGAAACTGCCAATAATTTTTTGACAACTTGGATACGTGAGGTGTGGAAAATCTGATTGTCTTATAGGAGTCTATGTTCTTAGGAGCAAGTATGCGCCCCAGGCTCACCAAGCCCTCCATTCCTCGGCGATAAGCAAAATGGTAGCAGAATTGGCTGCGAGGATAGCAGCACCGGTTCGATGCATCTGTGTGCCACCGCGAGTCATTGTAACGATCGGATATGCATTCAATCACCTCCAATGGTGCTTAATGAATTCGAATGCGCAGCGCACCACTGAAGAACTTACCCATGTCAATAGCCGTCCTTTAGATTAACCTTGTTTGAAACTGTTTTTAATCTTCTAATCTGCTGTTTAGATTCAACTTTTCCGAAACAAGTGAAGAAGAAACTCAAACACTTGAAATTCCAAGTAAGGAATTTAATTCGTCGTATTCTCAAGGACGAAAAACTCGTTCAATTGCTTTCATTTTCGAAATACAAGCCTGAACTTGAAGTGGATGAAATACGTCTGCTAGGCTTCAAAAAACCCAAATCTTATCCTGGCAAAAGAAACAGTACGTTAGTGGGAACAAACCCACGTGAGAGACCAAGTGTTAAACCAACTAACCTGTGATATATTGATGTCAGATTTAATAAAGCTTAGGTCCGGTTCATTCATTGATTCCGAAACAAGACCTTAACCTATCTTCGCTAACAGTTCAGATAATTCATAAGAAACAATATAATACGGCTATCCACTGTAGATATATAGCTGTCCATGCATTCTTTTACTAGAGGCAGAACAAACGGAAAAAAAAGTGTTAGTGTATTATATGCTGAACAGACCAATAAAACCGTGCTTCACTAAAAACCATACCAGACAGGAAATGAGTACGAAACGATACACAAAATAGGAATAACTCGAAGGTATAAGTAGCACACTTCAATAGATCATAGCGCAGGAACAAGCACACAATGATGAAGTCATCAGAACAGCGGTATTCATAAACTAGTATAACACTGTTCATAAAACGAACTTAAGGGAATAAATATGGAGGTCGCTAAGGATAACGTGAACTACTTCATCCTGTCAACAACTTTGACTTCCTCAATAGGTTCTATGTGAGGACGTTTATCACGAATTGAAGGTGCCGGTAAGGAAGTGCCACCGCCGGGAATATGTCTTGGAGTACTTTGCTGAGACGAACTTGCCGACGTTGACACTGGAGTACGCTCAAGAACTTTGCTAAACGACAACGGTGGAAGACGTTCTGACGGAACTAACAGCTCGTTCAATGTCTCCGCCATTGGGACGATTTCCTCAAGCATTACCTGCAACAACTTGTTCGCTTCAAACTCCCAATGCAGATTTTTTAGAAACTAACAACTCCAGCCCCAAAACGGTCTACCGCCTCATTACGGCAGGGAGGTGTTTCTGGGTGCCAGATTGCGATGTACTGCGGGAGGATTCAACTCCTCGGCAGGGTCTTCCAAGCTGAGAAGTCCCGCGTTGCCATCAAGAAACCCAGCTAAGAGCAAATCAATACCAAAATCCACCACCGATCTGGTGTCAAATTAGTTGCATGGTGCCAAATCTCCCTCTCATCCACAAGGGCTGCGAATGCCTGTAGTGGTGACGACTTGAGGCAGACTTTGGGCTGGCCGACCTCGGAACTCCAGGGAACCACAATGGTTAAGCAATCAAACGTCCGCAAAATGGAAATTGTGCTGGAGCCCGCACAACCAGTGAAAATGAGCCATCCAAGTACCCAAGCTAAGTAAGTATTCAATGGATCCCAGCAAAACTTCGATAAAATGGAGATAGTGCTGAGGCCCCACAACCAGAAGGACGGACCATCCAAGTATCCAAGTAAGTAGTAAACAATTCCAGAAAGAAAAAGAGTGCTCCACCTGGACATGAAGCATGTCATCGTACAGTTTGTTCAGTTTCTCCAGTTGCATATTAAAATTGTCAATGGCTCGTTTTTTTTCCGAGAAAACATTCAAGACAGCAGTAGTAGATGCATCCACCTAGAAGGAAGACAAAGGATAAAATGTGTAAAGGGCGAAAACCATTTGACTTACCGACTTTATCGCAGTCACTATTTCATTTTGATCTGAAGCAACTGCTTTAGCACACAACTTTAAGTGGTTCTGAAAACGTGACGCCATCCTAAAATCAAGCAAACCTCATACAAAACACAAAAAAAACTGAAGCACTAGGAGGTACCGACCGATATAATGGTCGGCTGCTCATTCGGTGATGATTGTCGCCTGGCGACATATTTTTCTTGCCGATTGAATGACGTAAAATGGGTAGAAATCGAGGAATGTCCTAAGCAAAAAACGAGATTTATTTACAAAAACATGGAACATAAAGAACGCTTCCTCTACAATATGTTGATAGCCATCTTACTTGAAATCTTTTGTAGACCTCATCATCCTCTAAAGATTCGACCTTGGCGCTGCCACTGTTAATTACAACAATACCTTTTGATTTTTTGGCATTCGCTCCTGTTAAAAGATAGCTTCATCTTGAACGAAATAGTAGCGAAAACGTCGATAATATTCGCCAAACATCATAAAAAGGAAAACACTCAGATAATTCTACCAAAGAATAGAAAACGGTTTACCGCCTCATCGTGGCTGGGAGGTGCTCTTAGGTGTCGGAGTGTGATGTACACCAGGACGACTCACCTCTTGGCAAGGCCTACCGAGCTGAGGAGCACTCCGGCATTTGCATCAGGAAGCCTAGCTAAGAGTAAACCGATACCAGGACCCACAACCGTCCTGGTATCAACCTTGTCGCGTGAATGGTGGCCAATTTCGCTCTGATCCACAAAGGCAGCGACTGTCTGTGGTAGTCACGGTCGTCATAATGTGGTGAGGCAGACATTGGTCTAGCCCACCGCGGGACTCCAGAGAACCACAATGGGTAAAACAGCAAAACTCCGATAAAATGGAGATTATGCTGGGCACGCACAACCAGTGATGAGGAGCCATCGAAGAATCCAAGTAAGTAAAGAATAAAAAATTGAAAAAGAAGAACGAAAAATTGAATGCGACTGGAACAATTTTCCTAAGTTGATAACGATTCAAACATTAGACAAACAATAAGGTGGAAACATACCTTTCCCAGATAAAAAAGAAAATGCAGAACTAGAAGATGGTTGAGGAGAAGAGTCGTTCAAACTTTGTTCATTACCCATTCTGAAAAGTACCAAAGATGTATTACACGCTGTATACGCAGATAACAGATTCATAAGCACTTCAAACTGAACCACAAGTCTATGCAAATAAGAATCTATTGGACAATACCAACTTTTCACCATATGAAAGACGAGTTAGAAGTTCTACACAGGATTATTTTCAGCGGATACTACGTCCATGGAAACGCGATCCAACCCCGAATCAAGCCAACTACGTTCGATATCAGCGAATGACTCCTAAATCGGACATATTTTGCAAAATAACTAGAGCCAAAATAGGATAAAGCTCTCGACGTTGATCAGTCGCTGAGGGATGCGCCATGTATTCGACTTCATTAAGCATCGCTGGAGGTGATTGATTGCACACTTGGCCTTTACAATGACTCGTGCTGACCTACCGATGTATTGAACCAGTGTTACTATCCTCCCAGACAAGTCTGGTACCAATTTTCGGACCCCGGAAGGATGGAGGGCTTGGTGGGACAGTGAGGCGGGAGCGATCCCATGCGTATTGAAGGGCGCCTCCGACCACTGCGCCATACGCAGATATGCACAACAACTACACCAATTCAAATAGCGCATTTGTGCGATTGAGCCATATTCCATTCCCTTCAACACACTATCAGGTGTAATAGAGAATTTGCTTCGCTTTACTAGAAATGTACCAAGAAAAGTACCTGCTTGCCAGTTCCAGGGATGGCTTCAGCTTCCGGATCAGGGAGATGATGACGTGGTATTTCAATATTATCCTTCAAAACATGTTCTACTCTTATCATGTTATATCATATTAACACTCATTAAATCTGTCAATCAATAACTAATATCACTTTTGGCAGCTTATGGAACATCCACTCCTTGTCCCACTTTAGATGAGTATGATCTAAAGCAGCCAGTGAAGGAACAGATAACATACCATCAGGAACTCTGACGACCTGCATACGTCGTACAAAATTATGTAGAATTGCACAAGGTGTGTGTTACACTAAGTACAAACTGAACAGTGGAATCCGTAGGACAAATGAAAACGAGGAAATGTTAGAAAAACCCATTTTATCCCGTGATATTATCACAAATTATGTCACAAATTATTTAAAAAGTGAAACCAAAACAAGAACAGAGTTATAAAGGATGCATCAAGCAGTTAGAAGTGGAAAACTTCGAAGACAACGAAAAATTCATTCATGTATTACTCGTACTTGTGAATTCTTCCTCGTTTCCGCAAGGAATCTCAATTTCTCTCAAATCCTTATCAAATCGTTGCACTAAGAAATTGTTGCCTATATCTTTCTTATAGCCATAGAGTTCGTAGAATGGAATTAGCGCGTCTTTGCACTCCAGAGACAATTTGTAGACACCGACCTAAAACGTTGATAAATTTTTCGGCACAGTGGTTTACGTCCGAATGAACTCAAGCATACGATAAACCAACCTGTCTCGCAAGAGCTACAAGTGTTCTATTAAGCAGCGCCCCCATTTTCCTTCCACGCAAGTTTTTGTCGACCACGACGTCTTCAACTCGGCCTCGGCAGCCTACACGATGAATGAACTTCCACTCAAGTACTAACGTTGCTGTACCAACAAGACGTCCACTGCTATAAATAAAAGTATCCCGGTTTTTTTCTAATTTTGGCTCTTACAATTCTTTTAGTAGTATGAGATGACATTAAGCTTCATTGTAATGAACTCCGTTTACTCTTAAGCATTTTCAGCTCGTTATTCACACATTCGCCAATTGTGCATGGTCGAAGACGCCCAGTATACACATAGTATCGGTTCCCAGGATCACTAAGCCTTCAATCCCTCCACGGTCGACAACGTGGTACCAGACTTGTCAGGGAGGATAGCAACACTAGCTCGATACATCGCTAGGCCACCGCGAGTCATTGAAAAGGGCAGGTATGCATTCATTCACCTCCAACGATGCTTAGTGAAGTGGAATGCACAGCGCATCCCTCAGAGACTGAACAACGCAGAGAGATTCATCCGTTGATGAAACAAAAGAGTCTATGCAGACAGCATCTTTAGATCGTCTTCTGTTCAACAGCAACGGTTTGCTGCCATGAAGTAAACTCTGTTTCATAACAATCTTTTGTAATCTATCACGAGTGGAAAAATTTTTTTTCACAAAGCAGACTTAAAATACGAGACACTTTCGAATGGAAAAGAAAATTGAAGACTGTGTGCGATAAAATAATCCAATGTGAAGGAAATGTGCTAGGTGCATTGAAATTCGTACACTTTGCCCACTTCCTAGCATTGCCCTCACTGCATTTCGGACACTCTGTGTTAAAAAACACGACTTGCCTCATACTGAAACGTATTAAATAAAATACGAAGTAGATTTTTGTAAACAAGACAGAAATTCACTAATTTTATTACAAGAGAAACCACACCCGTCAATGAGCACAAGGTTTTGGTTCCATCCTATACCCTGTAGAAAACAAATTATGAATTAGGATTGGAAAATTGGTTCCAGAGTTCTCTTGGAGGATAAGGGTACTAAAGTGACACAGAATGACCAACGCCAAACGGTTTATTTTTATCTTAATTACGACGAAAACATAATGCGCTTGCTTTATTCTCACTCGGGAATTAGTGAAATTCACCGCCGTCACATAAATCACTGGTGTGAGAACCTGCGCCAAAAGAGAGTACTCTCTACTTAGAGCCACGAAGAGATGCGACTGCCTGTGATGAAAACCTATAAAAATATCACGGCTACCATAAGGTTCTAGATTATACTATCAGAGAACATGGAGAAATGATACATTCTCAAGTTGTAGTCGAAACCACACACAAATTCGACAGCCACAATCGATGATGATTGTAACGCAATGAAATGAAACCCTAAAATTCAAAAACGGGTTATTAACTATATGATATGTAAGTACTGCGACGAGAGGTTTTGCAGAGCCTATGAATGGTCCTTTCTCAGTCTTGTTTTGGTTCAGATCTGTTTCTCAAGCGGCAAAATCATTAAGAAAGATGGTGTTGTCAGGTAGGTCAAGATGGCATCGTTAATTTTGAAGGTTTGGAAAATTCACCTTAAAACCTACTTTCACTAAACCTCAGCAAGAATATTTATTACGTTATTCGATTATTAAGCTAACACGCGACTGATTAAAAGCATATAATCGGCTTTCGACATCTTCATCTTCTTCGGAGCCGGACTGATTCGAGTCAATGGTACACAGGTGGTTAACCTCGCGGTGTGGTTGTTCGTTATAGCAACGAGTCAAATCGCGTGAAGTGAAGCAGCGACCGAATGGAGAATCTCAAGCGACAGTGCTTTCCTACATAGGACGGATGTTCCGATTTGCTAAGTGGATTATTTTGAGTATTTTTAATTGTCAGTTACTTCGATTATCTTATTATCAACCTCGTGCCATCCTAATAACCCAAGAAACTGTTATTTATACCCAGTTTAAATAAGGCGGTTTTTAAAGATGTATTACTACGGTATGTGCCAACTAGCAAAAGACCAACTTCTGCAGGAGGTAAAGCCGCCCAAAAAGCAGATTACATTGAATGCCGGCAATACATCAACATCCGTCGTGTTTTATGAAGGTACCGCCAAGCGAGATTATCCATTCATTCGAATTCGAAGGTACCCACTTCACTGGGATTCGACTAGATGCGATAACGAATGACCACATCGCCAAGACGATCACTTGTGGACCACAGAATCGAATCAATTCAGCCCTGAAGAAGCAGATGAAGACGTCGAAATGTTAGCCGGATAAATATCTTTTTTGTCAACATCACCTTAGTTTAATAATATAAGAAGGTATTCGCCTAAATAAAATGGAATACTGAAAAAATCCGAAGTGAAAACAATGTTTTAGAAAAACTGGAACGATCGAGTAAAACCTTCAGTCTAATTCTGTCAAGTTGTGTCGGGGGCACTCATAAGAACTACAGTTATCGAAAAATTATCCCAAAAGTCAGCATCAACAAAAAAGTATCCAGTTCGTGGATGTGAAAATTAGGTTTAAAATTGGACCCGCCATCGAACTAATTAACAAATGTCAACATTAAACTTATGATGAAACACCCACCCCCTTCTCCCCTCCCCTAACACGAGAATTTAAGCAACCTTACCTCAAACATTCAATGACAACAATGTAATATGATTGAGGAGTAGTTCTTCGAATTCGTTTGAAACGATCTTCAAAAGCATCCCGTGTAACTTCACCAACGAACGTCAACTGAGCCAACAGTTCCAAAAACCTAAGATTCAAACATATTCCAAGCAATGCAAATTAAAGCTGAATAGCAAAAGTGTAGTGAAACAAAAACAAGACAAGGAAAGCACAATATGTTAACGAACCCATTGTCATAATCGTGAATCTTAAGCGGTCTAACGGCAAATCCATCTGGAACGTCACCAACGATGTCTTCCGTCAACACTTGAGGATCAAAGATATATTCAAGACGCACTATAAAGCGAGCCTATCCATAATGCCATAGACATAAAGCAAACCTGAAAACAAAATGAATACCACCTTCAGCTCCAATCTCCCTTTTCTGGCCATTGGTTACAGCGGATGGAAACATCGTCATCTGCTACTTCTGCTCAATGTAATTAACTGTATTATATATGTTCTTACGTACTGCCCTTTTTTTTAGCCGAAGAGGTTGATATAGATGTTCTTATCAATGTAGCTGTCGTTTTTCAATGGCCAACGTTCCGGTGACTTCGCGCTCAGAGCCTTGTCGTTGGACCTGCCGTGTGTTGTTCATAAGGGAATACTTTCAGTAACAAGTCCAGCCGACATCATAATTACTTTATATTTACTATTCATTTGCCTTGAATTCGTCATCATAATTCGTGAAACAACACACGCATGGTCCAACGGTAAGGTTCTGAAGGAGAAGTCGCCTGAAAGCCAGCCATTGACCAAAAACAACAACAACAATAAGAACATCTATACCAACAGTGTGTGTGCTAAAAAACGGGCAGTTCGCAAGAACATAAATACAGATATATTGATTACTATGCCAACGTCTACAAAAAGTCGACCTTTTAAATGTAAATGACTTATAAAAATCAAGGTGAAACAATAAACAGCATTCAATGGGTTCCTCCCAACGGGATAGTTCACCTCCCCGGCAGGATCGATCCCCCAAGCTGAGAAGAAATCCGGCGTTTTCACTAGGAATCCCAGCTAAGAGTAAACCAATACTAGGATCCACCACTCCCCTGGGATCAAACTAGTCGCATGGTGGCAAATCTCCCTCTGATTCACAAAGGCAGCGACTACCTGTGCTGGTGAGGATCTGGGGAAGACTTTCGACAGGCTGTCCTCGGGACCCCAGGGAACCACAATGGCTAAGCTATTAAATGTTCGCAGAATGAAAATTGTGCTGGAGTCCGCACAACCAGTGAAAATGGGCCATCCAAGTACCCAAGCTAAGTAAGTATTCAATGGATTAAAAACCGCTGATGAACAACAAACAACATCTATTGACGACAAAACATTCACACTAACCCAAAAGGAAGACAATATAGTCGTGTACTGAAAGTTGTTGATGACGTCTTTCTTTCTTATGGTGAGTGCAAGTGGACATATAAACAATAGCTGAGCTAAACGCACACCGTCATGATTAGAGAGAGATACAATGTTGTGAGAACAAGGCCGAGAGATTACCGTTTCCATAAAGCAATGCCTAGAAAAAGTTATGTACAGATCGAATAAATGAGAAACGCAATCAGCATATCAAAGAAATAACTGTGGATGAGACGTAAAGCTGAAACTAGAGAGAAATATGGCGGCACGCAGTAACACGGAATAAACAATGTTACAAAAATGGTAGCGTAACATCCAAAAATATGCATTAATCACGATATTAAAGCAAACTGTATAAACTTTTACAACTTTTATGCCATTCAAAGTTTCACCAATAAGCTCAAAAACAATAATAGCTGAATAAATTGAATTCAAACAGAAGTAACCGGTCCAACTTCCGTGGCAACAGCTATGGCACGTTCGACATGCGTGATGATTTGTTTTTCGGCAGAGTGATCGCCACCACCACCACCACCACCCATGACTGGAGCCATTCTACGTGTGAACTCAATGTAGTTCTTTTGCAGTTCGGACTAAAACAAAAATATTGGTCAGAAGATTAATTTATAGAAAACCCCGACACTGATCAATACTTCGCTCCTACGAACGCGATGTGTGAAGCTAAATGCCGTTCAATAGTACGCGCAAAGCGCTAGTTCAAAACAGTTTCGAGCCAACCAAGCCCATAATTCCTCTGGGATAAAAAAAAGTGGCATTATTGATGTTTGGAAAAAGATACTTCCAATCGACGAAGGTCGCCCAAATATTGCGACAAAGAAACCTAGGGATGATCTAGTTAAAAATATCCGAGGATTCTCGGGAAAATTAATTCCTACATCTCACGATGTTCACAAAGAAGACCAGATCCTCATGTGGCAGCCCAATCTATGTGGAAATCTAACACCCCATGTGAAAAATGACGGATGCGAGAGAACGGATCGAAAGTGGGGATCTGAGCAAAATCTACAAGATTTTGGAAACAAGTGTTGGAACATGTATTAACAATCTCTCTTTAAACTAAATACAAGTTCTGAACATTTACTAAGTAAGACCTTTCGAAAGAGAAAAGAGATTGTGAGAAGATCTTGTTTCTGGACTTATCGAAGAAGCAGTAATCTAGATCACTTAGACACTAACACACACTGATTCTAGGGCCAGAAAAAAAAAACAAAAAAAAGAGAAGAAATTAGAAAGTTGAACCCCTCTTGGAACACATAATATTCGGTTACTCTCTGACAAGTTGTCGACCACCACCTATTCGCTCTTATTGTGAAAACCAAGATGTTACATCCGTAAACGTAAGAGATATCCAACTATCGAAAAACCTCACGCACCTTTCTTCCACAAAAAAGGACAATAGGGATGACTCTTGTAATAACCGTTCGACAGACTATGTCCTCTACATTCTTTCACAAAGCCCAAGCTACAGAACAAGCTGGATTTTACAACGAATTTAGCTGCATAGACCACGGACAAATACTTCCGGAAGTCGAGGATGTTTGTAGGGAACATAGTCTACATCTAGCGTTAACCTTCGCTTACGAAGAGAAAGCATTTGACTGACTACAGCAGTCATGGTGCAACTACGATACATCTTTTTCACTGATCAGTTATTATTCCGAATGGCTAAGGAATAAGAGAGTGAGACACAATGCCACGAAAGCTGTTCTCGGCCGCATTGTAGTGCTGTATGCATTCACTCGGCTGGGACAACAAAAGGGCACGTGGTGATGGAGTATAGCTGCACAACATTTACCTTGGCTCAATGAAGCAGGAAAAACAATTGGACTGCGAACCAGTCGGAAGAAAAGGCAATTCATGAGAAATTTCATTTGCGCGATATACTATCACATTCACTGACCTGATTCCAGCATTTTTTGCATTCGATTCGTTTTCCCCGCATTCATCATCCACAATGGTCTTCGAACATTTCGCGCATTTTCTGGCTTACGCTTGAGGATTTCGTTCTCGTTATGGATGTCGTAGAATCCTGGTCGAATAGATCCTCCCTGCAATCTTGGAGATAGCCAAGCTACACTGTCCTACGTGGAAAGCATTGGAGAGGGGATCGAACCAGTTCCTCGCTTCCCGGTGGAATGCGTCATTAAGCATTACGCTGATTGTGGCAACACCGACAGAGTAGAAACATGGCCGGGAAAAAGACAAAGCAGTAGCCTCAGTTGGGGTCGTGGATAGGATGTGAACCCTTGGAAACAGTAGCGATAGGTTCGATACCCAATTAAGGTCCCGAGCTTTGCTCATATGTCAGTGTCCTTATGGTTGTAACCTAGATTGATAACCAACTGAGGAAACCACATCCTACGTATACTCGCGATGTTCAATGAACACGGATAACAATTCGGGAGATGAACTCGGCAAAAGATAGCGAGTAGCACAATTCATTTTCGGGTATCTCACAGAAGGGTCTCCTGAGTTGGTCCGTGTGCTCACGTTTTTGACAGAGGGAAGTATTACGAATATGGAACGGTGCACTAAAAACTCAACTTGCTTTTATAATTTACATCTTCGAAGAAAATCCCGTTTTCTAAAGCCAGTAGAATCTCAAGAAGTAAATACCAACATGCATCATATAATTAGAAGAGAACATGACAAATGAACGAAAAGAACAACTGCATCGAACGCAAAAGAATCAAAAGCACGTACAGAAGCACTATTAAAAAGACGGGTCGATACTCATTTCACGTGTAAACCAGCTACATCCATTGCTAAAATAAAATTTCGAATCCTCAAACCGCAGCGTAAGCGGTGGTAGTTGGAAAAAAACACAAGTGGAAGAACCAGGAATCGTATGACATGTGAACAGAGAGAATCCAAACGAGTACAAAGGAATAAGGAATCACTCCGAAAAACAGTGGCACTTCAGCCTATTCTAAAAGCAAGTTTATTGTAGGACAGGACACTGCGTGTTCGAAAAGATACCGCTTAATTTTCCCTTCAATTCCTACGAGGTAGGCAATAATGCTTTTAAACGCTTCCTAAAGACGGTTGATTGAAGAAGTCGATGGCAGTACTGGGTGCAGCTCCTAACGCTTCACAACGCCAGTTAATTGGAACCGCTTCTGGGATCTTCTCTGCACAACACAATATTTCATGATTTGCCCAATCCATCAGAAGTGCAGATTGCCCGACTTTGGGCATAGTATGCCTCATTTCTTGCGCAGAATGTGTTGGTGAATACACTAGCGAATGTATATGCAATTATCATTAAAGACCTAGATACGAATTTAAACATTAGCAGAATGGTGCACTACGTGCAGATGAAATGTAAAAACACAATGGTGTTGATTTTGAAGTCAAATTTGCGCTCTAAGTGTGAAAACCAGGAAGATTCACTTGCCGAATTCTTAAGTCGTTCTGGAACTGGATAAAATAAAGGATAAAGCGTTCGACATTGATCAATCGCTTAAGGATGTGCCAAGCATTTGACTTCACCAAGCTGAGTTAAAGGTGAGTGAATTCATTTCTGGTCCATACAATGACTACAGTGAACTAGGATGTATCAAGTCAGTGCTGTTATCCTCTCACACAAGTCTAGAGTCAATTTTCCGACCCCGGTCGGATAAACGGTTTGGATAGTTTGGAGCGCGGGAGAACCACAGATCACGTGTGTATTGAACGGCACCTTTAACCACTGTATCACACACGCCATACGTTCTGGAAATGGATAACAGAAGAACGATTGGCATTTACAAAGCTATTACCCATTGTTAAAATGCAGGTTACGAAAATGTAAAACCGAGTAGGTTTAATATCAGCGTATTCCTCTCCTGAGCATGAAGAAAACGAAGTTTGTCGAAAGTTACCTTTTGTAAATTGGATATTGTGTTAACAACATCTCAGAAAGGAAAGTTTACAAGATAATGGTACTAACCTGGTAAGCCAACTGATCCGGAAGGATGAGCTGCTTATTGAGGATAAGCGCATCAGCACACTTCTTAGAGAAGTCGCGGAAACAAAGTCTCAACTTGTTTTGGAACTTATCAACCGGTTTTCCGTGTTCATTCAAGGCAACATCAGTCAGAAACACATTTGCCACCTTCAAAGTTACTGGCTATGCCTACTCAGAAATTATTCCACGGTACAAAGAAGCCATTAGAAATTTCAAATAGAATTAGAGCTCACTTGAATTGGTCCCTGATTTACAGTGGTACCAATGCATCCTTGCAACACCATCTGCAACATTTTTGCATCTGGAGGATTTTGAGCAACTGCAGCAGAAAGCTCTCTAAAGGAAAACAATCAGTGCATAACGAGTTTAAGCATAAAAAAAAATAAACGACAGTCATGACATGAAATCATGACATTACAAGAAATTTGTAAGACAAATTTTCTCGTGTTTAAAGTATGTTCGCTATAAATAGAAACATCAATAATGTCTCAACAATAATGTTTGTATACCTAGTTTTTTTCTCAACGTCTTCGATGGCCACCTGAATGGGTTGCAGCACCTTCTGTTCTCGCTCCACAACCCGTATTCGTGTTTTTACATAAGGGAAACTGAAAAACAAAATATCCTAGTGGACCGAAACCAACACTTCTACTACCCTACAAAATATCTGTTGTTTAAACGATCTCACAAAATCTTATTATGATGTTTACCTGTATTGTGTAGATAAAATAGTTCGTCGTTTATACTGGTCTTTCAAATCCCCATGGGCTTTACCATCACGAGTAAATGGTGTGGCGTAAATAAATCTAAACAGATAAATCTACTTCCAACCAGGAGCCTGCACCCTACTGTTTCATACAGTGGAAACTGCATTATACCACTTCATGTACCACGAAAACTGCACCACAATACTCTGCATCGCAGACATAATTGCTATTCGTTAATTATTACAGAAATAAGGGAAAATCAAACAATAGTCAACCAATCTTTTTCAAACCAACCGTCATGTAACCTCGGCATTAACAATCAATACATTCTTGGATGCATGCGGCGCAGTGGTCGGAGGCGCCTAGCAATACACATGGAATCGATCCCAGTGCCCCAAGCCCACCAAGCCCTCCATGGCTTTGCGGTTGGCAAATTGGTACCAGACTTGTCTGGGAGGATAGCAGAACTGGATCGGTACATCGGAATCCACTGCCAGTCGTTGTAAAGGCCAGATATACATGCACTCATCTCCAATGATGTTTAATGAAGCCCAATGCATGGCGCGTCCCTCATAGATTGAACAACGCCGAGATCTGTATAGTTTATCCTTTACCTTCCTGAACTTCTAGACTAACACGAGATTGGGAGTTTGTTCGCGTAGCGCTTCAACGTTTTCGTCTTCCTCGGAGCCGATGTTTCGAGTCAATGGTCCCCAATCGTTCGTACTCTCTATGTCGAGTGTTGCTTTTCGTATCCTCGTGTAAAACATTAATACTTCTTATATACACAACCGCCTTTAAATCTACTGCGTGGATCCCGACACTTCCCGCATTCGATTAGTTTTCTCGCGTCCGTCATAGAATAAGCTGCTCAAAATTTTTCCGTATTGATTCATGTTGCGAACTACGGATTGTCGTCTCGTCAGTGTCGTTGAGTGCTGAGTGAGGTGATTCTCCTGAAACCCTGGGATAGTTAAGCTAGAGCATTCCAACTAGGAATGCATGGACTGCTCTCTTTCCAGACAAGTCTGATACGAATAACCCAACACCGGGGGTATGAAAGGTTTCATGAACTCGAGACATGGACGAACCAGCATCATGCTCGGGATGAATAGCATAACTACCACTGTGCTACCCTTCACTCGCTGATCGATTAAATAAAATTTAACTTTTACTTACTACCCATCATTTTTCACGGTATTGATAAAACCAGCATTTTTTCATGGTAAAACTGACTGAGAGATAGAAAAAAACGGTCTCGGTCGGCGTGGATAGCATGTCAGCTCCCGGGAAAGAGTAATCGCGGCGCAGCAAACCTGATGTTCTAAGGCTTGCCCATATCTCACCATCTTTGTAATTGATAACACACATAGAGCAAACCCTGAGACAGACTTTCTTTTAACCACGTGTTCGCTCATCAAGAAAACACACCATTCAAATAGAATCATTAAAGAAAGCTCACAACAAAGAGATTACATGCCTTCTAACATTATGACTACGTTCGAAATGTGTCGGACGTCTTCGCCTTTCCCATTTGTCGAAATAAGGTTCCACATATGTTATTTGAAGATACGCTTTTAATGGATTTAGCAATGCACGAACAACCTTAATTAAGCTTTATTAATTTTAAATTGGAAAACATAAAAATAGATGAGTACCATTGAGAACCAACATTATTAGAGTCCTTAATGACTTCCACAACATCACTGCCAAAACGATCGGTGTAGAACGTTTCAAGTCGGTGACTTATTTCGGAGAGTTTTGTGAATGGAGCTTCCTGAAAACATCGTCAAACACCTACAAACTTGAACATACGCGAACTCATAGAAGCACTACTTTGTATATGTATTCTTCACCATCCAAATCTCCAAACCGAGTGCCATAGAAACCAACGCGAAAGTACGTTCCAAAACACCGTTTGTCAGCGCTAAATAATAATGGTATAAAGGTTTCCCTTCCTATATCCACCTCCAATTCTTCTTACTTGCGAAGTTCCGCATTTTTCTTTACTTTTTAAACTGTTCTCTAGAGCACACCTCATTAATGGCGACATCCAAGCATCGGCTGTGTCTTCAACCACAGAAACGGTTGGTTCTATGCGTGCTAGAGCATCGCTGATACGAGCGTGAATTGTTGACAAACGGCGATAGTCACGCCATTCGCGAACAATTGGCTCCACTATCTGCAGGAAATAATATTGAAGTGATAATACGAATTGCAAAAATAATTCCATCGGTGAATGCCTCATAATATCAAAAATTACAATGCTAGGGAGTAACACTAATAAAATCTACACAGAACCAAAGGTCAATAAATGACTTCAGTGTTAGAAAAGAAACCAAAGACATGCTTCTTAATACTAATACAAGCATACACAAAGACATCAATACGAACACCGAGACACCATGTGTTAAGAACAACAATGATTTTTACAAGAAAAGCGAGCTTGAAAAAAAGCCATTTCATTTCTATCTTATGTGTATGATGGCAACGTCAGTTATCGGAAGCGGAGAGATTTGTTTTCGTCTCAAGAATTTGCTTTTGAGTACATACCACCTGAGTGGTTGAAGAGGCCAGACTCCTCTCCTATACTTTCCAAACGAGTTTTCCTTGTCGCAGCGACAGTGTCCGGAGATATACATGTTTTGAACTTACTACAACGAGTTGTGCTAGTTGGCTAGTGGATTAGGGAGTTGGTCGCATTTATCCTTTGTCAGCTCGACTTTGTATGAATTCGCCACGGGGGACCTTCTTCCGTAGCTGCCTCGGACAACCTCGAGTTTGCGTTATAACAGTTTATAGCAATAACAACGGTACTATAATACCTGATATGCGACAATATGTGGTTAACTGGATATATACGAGCGATACTGAAATGAGATCAAGTGGTACATTTGAAGGAAACCGAACGGACACTGGAGTTGGAGCACTGAAGAACTGAGGAACTGGATGAACACTGGAGGAACCCTACGAACACTTAAAGACGAGTGCCGATGGGCAGCCTGTATTACTTCTGTAGTGAGTGGAACTTTGCCAGAGAGAACTAAAGACAGCGCCTAGGCAGAGGTTCTAAAGCTTTTTTCTACTAACACAATCTCATAGAGCTAGATGTGAAAGGATGCAAGTGCTGGTTTGGAAACTTCTTTAGGACGGCAAATGCTGGAAAGTACATTCAGATACTGCTGCTGATTCTTCTCTTTCCAGTCACCTGCGAGGCGACTGCATGAAATGGTCGTTAAGAGACAATTTACAGAATGTGCAAGAATAGATGTATAACGATTACAAGTAAAACAGTTATTGCAGAAGACATAAGCTAACATAGAAATAGGAACTTTAGGGAATATGTATGTATGTATGTTCCTGGATCGTCTACGTAACGCGCGACCCAACAGCGCGTACGTGGTGGAGTCCTTCGACGTCACTGCCCTCTATACGAACGTGTCGAATGACTCCGCTATGCAAGCCATAAACGAGGTCCTTATACAACACGAAGGAGCAATAAACATGTACGGCTTCTCGATTCAGCAGTTGATGACACTCTTAAAGGAAAACTGCTCAATTTTCAGATGGTCCGGGAGGTATTACGTACAAATGAGAGGGCTGGCAATAGGACAACGACTGGCACCAAGTCTTGCCATTGCATTCATGTCTAGGGTGGAAGAGCCAGTAATCGACCTCGGTCCGTGACTCTACTGTAGATATATAGATGACTGTTTGGTCATTTGTTCAACGCAAGAAGAAATCGACAGATGTTTCGAGTTGTTGAACATACAGTCAGAGTATGTTAAATTCACCCGAGAGAAACCAAAAGAAGACTGGCTTCCATTTCTGAACGTACAAATTAGCCTAACAGAAAACGGCTACATTACGAAGTGGTATCGAAAGCCACCTAGTAAAAACATACTAACTCATTACCTCTCCTCTCATCCCTCTCACACGAAAAGGGCACTTGTAAGAAACGTGTATCGAACAGCTACCAGCGTGTGCACGGGAAAACAACAGAGAGACGAGTACCGGAACTTGGCGCGGCAAATAGCCATTTTTAACGGCTTCGAAACCGTAGCTCGAGATAGGTGTAGAGGAAACCACAGGTACCCCAACGATAACTCTAGCGACAACAAGGTCCCGTTTATACTGCCCTCCATTTCAAATGAAGTAAGTGCAGCTATAAAACGCTGTTTAAGAAGGGCCAGTCTAGAGAATTCGGTAACGATAATCGAAATACCATCGAGTAATCTAAGGCGCCAGTTAGATCGTAACCGCCTATACGACCGTCTATGTGCAACGCAAAATTGCATAATTTGCCCCAATGGTAGAGACGGTGACTGCATGAGTTCGGGTACAGTCTATCTGATCTCTTGTAAAGCGTGCGGATACGAATACGTTGGCGAAACGGGTAGACCACTCTGCGTACGTATAAAAGAACACCTAGTCGGCAAACGTAAGCCAAGTACTACATAGGTACGCATAGCACGCAGAAACATAACGGAGAAGATTTTGAAGTAAGGGTTACGATCCTCGCGCAAGAATCGAGAACACAAACGCGCAAAACTCTAGAGGCATTCTGGATTAATTCCAAGAATCCGAAAATGAACCGCAGGGAGGAATGTCTCGTTATCACGCGTGATATTGGACAGTATATAAGCCTGTTATGTTTAGCGTTTTGTCTGTTTGGTTACGGATGTGTTTGGCGGAGTGGATTGCTGTCAACTTGACTCTTCCAGGCTCTGAGGAAGGCGAAATCCGCCGAAACGTCAGCTTGTGTGTAAATAAAGAAATAAAATAGCACCTCGTGTTTGCTGAACAGAAGTAGAAAGATATTTAGGGAATAGTTACTATAGGAGTACGCAACTTTTTCGAAGTTTCGGACGACCTTGACGAACTCTTAGGGAAAAGCACTTTTTTTGGGAACCTGTGGAATTTCTGAGTCCTCAGCAACCGGATAATGCGACTTCTTTGGTGTTCTCCATGTCTTTTTAGGCTCAACCAATTTCCTTCAACCAGAGCAGATGTTCCCTTGTATACCTCTCCCGGTTATCACGATTTTTCCTCATTATTGGCATTAATATTGCTAATCTGTTTACTGATGAACTCAATGGTACTTAAAGAATTAATGGATTTATGGATAATTAATGAACTAGTCTAGTAATAGTTCCCAGGATCGACTTTCTCTTAACCTCGGCATTGGAATATGAATGTGTCGTTTTCTTGTTCAGCAATCGCGAGGTTTTTAAACAGCATACATTTACTAGTCAACTAGTCTAATTCCAGTACCAGAAGTGAAGTCCACTGCCACTATAAAGTCTACCGTACAATTTTCACCGGAAACCAATGGAAGCAAAAGACTGTTGTGTGATTTCTTGGAGAGGTCGTCTGTTTCTAGAAAAAGTCAGGGCAAAATCAATGTTCGTGTGGCAGGGAGAGCCAGACCGATAGACAGCCCCGAACGTGCGAAAAATGCAACGTCCATTGTGAAAGTCGAAGAGAAGAAAATGATGGTCATTTGTAAATCAAAGGCCTTTTCTGCATTCGACGATGTGATTTTTATGGATTTGTTTTATGGTCTTCACTTTCCTTATTCTCTTTAATTATCCAGCTTATACACAAGTTTTTTAATCGTCTCTGTTTCCCTATGGCTGATATAGATAGAAATCTTCATTTTGAATATTTTTCCTTAGTCATTTTTGGCCGGATGTCCGACAATTAAGCAAGTTTCTATTATGTTCTCTGCTATCTCGGTATAAGTGGCTTTTTTTAATATTTCAATTTTTATTCAGGTTTACGGATTTTCTGTAAATCAAGAGCGCACTCACAAGGAAGTGGTTTCCCCACAAGTGGAAAGAGTTCTTGCCGAATACAGTTGCAGGTTGTTCGCTTCTGAACAAATTAAGACGGGGAAAACAAATATAATAGAAAGTGGTTATACTGGCGATACTTCTTATAAGGATCGCTCTACAACTGCTATCATCCTTCGTGCCGTTGATCACATTTGTCAAGAACTAGAAAAGTTGGATACCGAAGAGTACAGCGTACGAGTTAGTTATCTTGAATTGTACAATGAGGAATGATATGACCTACTGGCTCCTACGTTAGATAAAGGAGAACGTCTGTTGACGACCAACCAAAAAAAGGGTATGGTAGTGGTATCTGGTGCATAGGAACTGCCAGTGAGGTATTGCTTTGAAGTGTATAATCTTTTAAAAAGAGGAGCTAACAGACGAGTAACTAATTTGGTCGATCTCGTTGCGTCAGAACACAGGTTGATCTGGAGCTGAAGGCAAATGGGCTAAGGAGGCAGAAAATATCGACCAGTCACTGCTCACTTTGGGTCGTGTTATCATTGTGCTGACAGCACCTGCTCCTCATGTGCCTTATAAAGAATCTACATTCACTCGCCTCCTACAGGACAGTCTTGATGGTAGCACTCTTACGACTTACTCCATCATGGCTATATTATCACCAGCGTCTACTAACTACGATGAGAGTGCATCCACATTAGAATATGCTGCAAGAGCAAAGCCGATAAGCAGTCATCCATAATGCAATCATACCCTGACCAGGAAAGCGCTACTTAAAGATTACAATGAAGAAATCGAAAAACTCCGAAGGGATATACGCCCTGCTCGCGAAAACAATGGCATTTTCGCTAGCCATGACAGCTAGATGCTGCTATCAGAAAACTTCAAAAGTTTACTGAAGACCACGAAATCATGGTTGAATAACGCCACGAGTTTTTCCATCGGAACAAAAGACGAAACGAAATTACAAGAGCGCAATGATGAGCTAGATGACACAAGAATAGGGTTCCATGCGGTGAATACCGCATTTCAGGATTCCCATTTTCTCGCCACTCAGCTTCATACTCATTTTAAGGAGACGCAAGAAGTTGTCTACAATCAGCAACTTGATTTCGAGAATTGGTGGTCAAAGGAGGAGACACTGTCACACATGGTTGCACAAAACAAGCAAGGCGTCACATCTACTCGTTCTAAGGTTACATCCAAGATTACTGAATGTTGCGCGGAGCTTTCAAAATTCGTTTTCACATGTGCTGACCATCGCAAAGTCCTCAACAAAAATGTTGAACAAGGTCTGGAAGAACTAAGGGAATGTGTTAACAGTTGCAATAAGAGTGCTAAATTTACCAGAGGTTCTTCTTCGATGGAGCGACGAATCCGAAGAGATTGTACAACGTTCATTTCGAGAATTGTTACACTTTGAAGCAGGAAATTTAACCTCCCAAATGAAGAATATTTTTTAGAACCCCCACGGATGCCTTCTATTGTTAAGGAGATGTTGAAAATGTCGGAGATGGTGGAATAATTAACAAAATAAAGGAATTTATGCTAAAAGAAAGGCAGGAAGCAATTGCACCTGAACGAGTGAATACAATGAATACACTGGATCCTCATTGGTAACAAAAAGCTCTTAAGATGGTTGAGCTTGCGAATGCAGTAGTTGCCGAATGTTAGTCGCATCGTTCATGACGAAAGTGAGCACACATTAACCATGATGAAGTCCCACGACGTGGCAATGTTTGAAAATAGTTTAGCGGATCTGCAGAAGTCGCAAACAATCGAATTCAATCATCAATCTAGAGATGCATCGCAAATGGTTGTTGATCGAACGTCATCTTCAGAAGTCCTGACAGAAGCTTGCTCAACACGAGGTGAGATGAGCAAGAACATAAAAAAAAAGAAACAGGTTCTTTTGCTGATGACATTACGAATAAAAACAGATATTTCACCGAATGTATGCGAAATTCTTTAAGCACCGTTGAGCTCAGCAGTGAAAGGATTAGAAATATCAATGCCAGTAACGAGAAAAACGAGTAGAAAGTCAGAATGAACAGTTGAAACGTGAACGAGCGATTATCTAGCGTTTTTGTGACAACCTAGGAGAGGTACACAAGGTAATATCTGTTCTGGTTGAGGAAAATTGGTTAAGCCTAAAAAAGACATGGAAAACACCAAAGAAGTCGCATTATCCAGTTGCTAAGGACTTAAAAATTCCTCGTCAAGCTCGTCCAAAACTTCGAAAACGTTGCGTACCCGGGAATCATTGTTGGAAGTTCAAAAGATATGCTCTTCTCCAGACACCCCCGCTGCGACCAGGAATACTCGTCTGGAAAGTACAGGGGAGGAGCCTAGCCTCCTCAACGACTCAGACGTTGTGTACTCAAAAGGAAATTCTAAGGATGAAAACAGAAATTTCTCCGTGTCTTATAACTGACAAAGCTATCCTAAATAGAAGAAGGATAGAAAACGATTTTTTTTCAAGTTTGTTGTTTTTTGCCACAATCATTGTTATTCTTAACATATGGTGGTGTCTCGTTGTTCGCAGTAATGTCTTCAATGTAATTTACGCCGACAAGACACGAAAAGTCCCACTGCTCAAAAAAGTACCCGAGATACAAATATTCGACGAGCCATTTCGAAGAAATATGATTATATAGCGATTAAAAGTATGACATGAGAGATTTGTTCTAAGAGACAATAATTTGTTCAACTAAAGTAAGGATAAAACTCACTTGATATAGAGCTGACAATAACTCGTACATGTGAGCTTTTTCAAAAAAAGCAGCACATTTTTCCACAAGGTTAACCAACCCGACTGCTGTGAAATGACGTGATTCACATATTCCTTCCACGTCAGGACTGAAATTTATTTAAACCGGATCCCCTCACAGAAGTTATTAAGATTTAGTGGTATCGATGATACAATAAAGTCGAAAGATATGATGCTCAAAGATTTCCTAGTGAGAGGAGAACCTAATGGGGTACTCTTACAAGCTCCTATAACAAGTCTGGAACTAGCGCTCTTTCGGGTCGTATGTATGAATGCAGGTATGTATGTATGTATGTGTACGTGTGTGCGTATGTGTTTGTGTATGCACAAGAGCATGTATGCACGTGTGTCAATATATATATATATATATGTATATATATGTAAATGCATATATATATATATATATACGAAGTCTAATCTCATCAACCTACAGTCACTTTCAAGGTAGTGAAATTTACTCGAAAGCCATCAAACCTAAGAACGTCGTCACTAACGGCACTTTCTTCTAAGATGTTATCGCTGATTTCCTTAAAATCCACTGCTCCTCGAGGCATGAAGCCATCCGTTGTTACCATTGCTGAAGAAACATTCATATGTTATCATTTCTAGAAAACATAGAACGAACTAACCAATGTACTCAGCGGCCAATGCTGCTGCATGGAGCATACACTGTCCCGCTTCACAATAAAGCTCACGATCTGCATGACGAGAAGCCATATTCAGTAACCAGGCCAAGCTTAAGAATAATAGTGAGTTATAATCACAATCTTAACTCTTTTATTTACTGCCTTTTTCTTCTTAATGGCAGGGTATGTTGTGAAATATAACTCTATAAAATAATATAATACTGAGTTAAATAGAAGACTAAATTAGGCAAAATAAGTTAATGGAATATTAGAATGAGCACTACGTGGGAATAATAAACAAGTATTTTGGGCTTTATAGAAACCATGTGCAACAAACCGCAAATCTGGGTTGGTCTGATAGCCTTTAGCAACACGGTACATTAGATCAATTGTCATCTCGAAATCATTTGCAAATTCCTTCAGTTTCACAGTATCCGAAAGGATCATATGTATGTTGAAAACCAAGTCTTTGACCTAAAACATGAAGATTTGACTTCTATCTAACAACTCACAACTTGTGAACTACTTTAAAATCAGTATCCACCTGTTCTGAGAAGCTCGAGTTTGCACGTGTGTGAGGATCAGTATTGGCATCGGTTTCGGAGTAAATTAATACTGTCTAAACGAAATATTCAAAGTCAACCAAGATGATGCTGAGATATTTGCAAAATTCTGGATCGCAGGTGTCTGCGGTGAGGAACGAGTGAACTATTACCCTTTCCGGCGGCTACCTGTCGCCGCGCTCTTGTAGATCAGGGGGTGATTTACTATCATGCGACTTTGATACCGAGGGCGGTGAATCCTCGTATTGGTTTACTCTTAGCTAGGCGTCTGATGGAAACGTCGGACTCCTTCTTAGGTTGGGAGGCCCTGCCAGCGGGATGAATCCTCCCGCTGTACATTGCAACCTGTCGCCCAAGAACACCTCCCAGCCACGATGAGGTGGTAAACCGTTGGAAAGCCACTTATACATTAATTATGCATAATAAACTGCCTATGCCTAACATTGTTTCTAGGTCAAGCAATAATACGACATTTAACCAACATGTTATGGACAACCATTCTTTACTTAGCTATATCATAGCCTTACGTTTTGCTCTATTAAAATGTCAGGTAAAGAAAGAAAACAGTAGAGGATTTTAAAGATTTCGACGATGAAGCAGCGGTTCCAAATCTTTACCTTGAGACTCCTCCTAAGGGAATCTTCATTTAGCCACACTCCCTCTTTAGTCGCGTTTGAGACCAGTGTCGATAAAGACATCGTGATTTGCATCTTCACCCTCGCTAAACTGCTACCACTCTCGAAACTCTCACGCATCAGAAGATAAAGACTAGCAGCAGACTTAAAGGGTCCATGAATTAAAACAGAGAACCGTATAGTGAGAGAAAGGCTAACAACATTTAATACCTGAGAGCGAACGGCTGGCAATCGTGATGCACAATGGCGCAAGAGCTGTAGGCACAACTCTCCGCATTGCTCAACTTCCTAGAAATATGTGAATATATGAACAAAAACAGAAAACTATATATTTATTCGGACCAGTACAGCCCACAACCGATCAAATTGGAGCAAGTAATCAAAGCTTAAGCTTAAATTATAAGAAATAATGAACAATAAAGATTTATCATCTTCTAATTTCAATACTGCGAATCTCCAAAAAAGGACAATACGCACTTTTCCATCAGACATTAACCGAATAATACTACGATGAAGTGTTCGTGTTGATTAATCCCTGAGAGATGAGTCATGCATCCGACTTCATCAAACATTCATGGTGACTTAGTGAATGCACATCTGGCCTATGCAGTAACTTGCAGTGGACTACGGATGTTCATCATATATCAGTTCAGCGATGTCATCTTCCCAGATAATTCCGGATCTAATTAGCTACACCCGGTAGAGGGCTAGTATACCGATGAGTAGGAGCGAATCAACGCCACCTCTGTGTTGTAGGGCATCTCTAACCACTGCCCTACATGCGCCTCCAACTATATATACATACACATATATATATATATATACATATATATATATTGAAATAATCAAATCAAAACGCAGATTAGATTAAAAACACTTACTTGTTCAAAAATTAGGTCGGAGAACTTCTTAACAAGCGTTCGTTGACTCACGAAAATACATTCCAAAGCTTGAACGGACTGATTACAAGCAAACATGTGCATCTAAAAGGTTGTAACAGGAATAAACTTTCATTAGAAATGTTTTTTTTAAAAAGGAACACTAATACCAGAATGGGCAAAGTGAAACTTTAACGGCTGTTATGTTACAGGAAACTCACAATTCCACGAAGCACCATGGGTAACGCAAAGTGCAAATGGTCACTTCCAGGCATGGATATCACTCGAATGACTGTCTCTAACATATCTAACACACATAGAACCACTTCGGTACACAACGCAGCTTCCAGCAGCACCTCATCTTCGCACACTGAATTCTTAGTACCTAGGCGATTTGCCCACCATCAAGTGTGTTAACAATGCACTTAAAAGATGGAAAGATATTTGTAACCCTATGAGTAGGAACAAATCAGACAACTTTGTTCTCAGGAAAAATTTGTTTTTAGCCTTGCTGTTCTCTTTTTATAAGCGGTTCTGTTATTTTCTCACATCTACCTTTATACTTTTATTATCAAAAACAAACTATCCCACATGTTCTCATATAATCAATGCCCAAAATAAATTACCATAAACCACCTATTTACGACCGAAGCTATCCACTTATTCGTGAAGCAATATGTTTTTCCATAAAACCCCATCTAATAGCGTGTTCTCTCCTAATGGTTTATCGCCTCGCCGTAGGTGGGAGGTGTTCCTGAGGTGTGTGGCTGCTACAATATATGGCGGGGGATTCATGCACCCACTAGAGTCTGCCAAGAGAGAGGTCTCCCCAGGCTGACCTCGAGATTCCAAGAAATCGCAATGGCTTAAACAGCAACTCCGAAAAAATGGAAATTTTGCTGGAACCCGCACAACCAGTCAGGATAGGCCATCCAAGTATCTAAGTAAGTAAGTAATGATGTGTTCTAAATGGTGATTTAAGCGCTTGCCCTTTTAGTATAAAAATTGTTAAAAAGCTTGCTGCGTGACTTTGTCTAATAGCACCTCTACATTCATACTTTAATATAACTAATTTATCTATGCTTTATAGTACCAAAAACCCACACAAAGAACTTGCTCGGCGCGAATCACTTCCAGCTGCAGATGGGGGACCTACTCTCCATTTCACTCCATCACGACGTGTCACGACGGACTCAGTCAAAGTTTCGTCTAATTCATTAACGACATTCACCAAATCCGACTGAAATAGCTGTTCTTGCTTCTACATACTCAGCCTCTATTCATGTTTTTCTTCTAGATATTAACTAGTTTCATAAAAGTCCAGAACTGCTACCACAGAGCATAAAAGATTTCCAATAAAAAATGATCATACCGATTGTCCTCCCTTATACTCAAAACATGACACACACAGATGAAGAACATTCAGTAACTGAGAAAGGCGTGTTGGAGAAAGTTCTCGCACCCAGTGACGAAGTGCAGAGCCCTCTACATTTTTCAACACCCAGCAAAAGCATGCCAAAAGCTGAAATACTAAATGCAGTGCGATAAGGGAAAGCACAAATAGGGTTCTCATCACAACATAACCTTTGGTAAAAGACGAGACATTCAACATCTAATAATGGGAGAGCTCTTTATACTAACTTGTCGCGATAAATCAAGACTTAATGAGGATCTACTCCGTTCTAATCCATTTTGTCTTCGAACACCAGTTGGCGTACAAGGTACTGGCGACGATGAGCCAATACCAGCTATTGCAAGCGCCACCTTAGGATTTACACCTGGAGAAACCGAGAAGTTGAGTGGATCTTCTCTCGAAAATCGGCTAAAATTTACGAATTCAATAAAAACGAAACAAAATCTTCAAGGCCGAAATTCTATGGTACTCACACTGTACTGCTGTTTGAATTAGCAAATGGATCATGGATAAGATCTGTTACGTCCAGAACGATTGTAATCAGAGGAAGATAGAGAGCAGCAATTCGAGCCCGTATGCAAGGATCACTCAGGCGACTGTCAGCTTCATGTGTTAACAGAAGATTGTGAATAACACTAATTGCTCTATAAAAGAAAGCACTCATGGACATGCCGTTTTAGTTACATCACATCACTTTCCCCGAATTCGAAAACCAGTAAGCTAACCGTGAATGAAGCACAGCACTATTTGACGATTCAAGAACAGAAGCCAGATCAGCGAGGGCCAAACCAACAAGATAATGACACTTCCGATACTCATAAGTGAGCTCACCAGACCCTAGTGATCCCCAGGAATCTAGTGTAGTAGTTGTTGACCTCAAGCACAATGCTCGTAACAATATAACAGATAAATTTTGGAACTCTACAATGAAACATCAGTGTGAAAATATGACTAGTCCGGCAAATATAATAATAAGGCTTAGGATATCATCTATTTTCCTTTCACACATACAATAAACTCGAAATTATAAAGCTAATATAAACCCACAGGTCAAATGAAGGTATGTTTCGACTATAGAAATAGCGGAAATCCCACCTGCTTGCAATACTAACAGACTCTGGACTAAGCGCCTGCATCTGAATCGCGGAGGTTCCACCACTGGAATAAAGCCCAAGAGATGAAGACGACGACGAAGTCGGCACACTGTGCGGTGGTCCAAAAGGAAGGTTCAGGATTACGAAGTGCTCATGCGAGCTCACAATTCGCATGAAATCCAGTTTGAGCAGCATCAAAGTAGTTGCAGCCGGCTCACCAATACAACTGTAAACCATCACATGCATAATAAAGGTCAACCAACAAGATTCACATTGACCAATATAATTCAAATATACTGGCACATCCATGTTGCTCTTATAAATGCACTAGGAAAACAGACAGTGGATTTGGCTTGTACTTATTTTGTGACAGAATCTATGGTGATTCATTTAGTCATTCAAATATGAGTTGACTATCAGTAGAAAGACTTCTAAGTAGGACTTGGTGATATGTCGGGAGTGATTCTCCTTGCCTACAGGTACCTGAAAAGCTTTGGTGGGGCGGGGAAGAAAATCACCTTTTAACAGTTCCCAGGATCGACTTTCTATTAAACTCGACATTGGGTTAAATATGCGTTGTTTCAAAAAAATAACCTTATTTTTGAAGAAACATCTCTGTTAAAGTCACGAACCAGCCCCATCACATAAGTACGATCCATGAAGGAGAAAGCATCCCTAAAAACTTGGATCGGAAGTAAATAACAATGGAAGTGAAATAGAAAACGTCTCACTGAGAACTACTAGCAATCACAAGTACAACGACAAAAAATTGCCACAAACTATGGCGTGTGCTTATGTATAAATAGGTGAGGCGATGAAGGAAATGGAAAGTGCTTTCTTATTAACTATAGAAAATTGCTAAGAATAACCTCACAAAAAACGCCCAGCTATTGGCTAGTGCGGTTGCCTGTCGAGGATCTTTAGTAAGGCGTGTCATCACCTCAGCGATTATGGCTGCCGACAATGCTTCAACTTCTCTAATAAAACGTTCACTAAACCGCGATCGTCTAGTGAGATAAAGGCGCCCTGTCATAGAAAGGTATTCCGCCATAGATTTAATCTGAAAATTGAAAGTGGGAAAAAGCCAAGAAGCATGCCCGTCACATAAGCAAAATCTGATATTACTGTATCAAAACTGATAAAACTAATAAATAGCCGTAAGAAAATCGTAGGAATACAAAAAGGAACACAGACCATGAGCTCAAGAAAGAACCACGCGTTGAGAAAGGCCATTTCTCTTGCGCAACCACCACTACGAACCCAGAGCTGAGCTAGCTCCTCGTGCACTGCCTTATTAGATGTGCTTGGTACAGCTTCTCCAGGTATGCGTAGATGATGCCAGTTCGACTTCTCAACGTCTTCTAAATAATTACCAAAAAAGAAAACTATAAGAATAAAGGATGCATGTGGGTAATTTAGGTGGTTTGAAATGTAACATTTCTTTTTTACCAAATGCGCAAACCAGAAGCCATAAAGCGAAGAGAAAGTGTGGGACAAACCAATAATGTGGTAGAGCTTTTGAGTTTCTGGTGAACCAGGTTTGTTCTTTTCAGCCATCAAGTCTTTGCATAGCTGTGAACTCGCTCTCGATTCTGAAAGTCCAGAATATCAATCTTTCAACAAATCCATCAAGTCAATTTTATGGTCCAACAAGAAGTTTGCAATATTGATGGATCATTCAGGAACTACTGATCTCCCTCACTGAGGAATCCCTAGACAGTTAATCGTGAGATTATGTGCAGAGGTGCGGAGAGAAGGTCAAACGACGGCCAAAGGCGACCTCGTGCTTCCCTAAGATGCAGTTGGAAGCAGCGGTAAACTTTTTCTGCTACGTCGATTTAACGTACACTTTCCACAAGCCGTTCTAATGAAGACGAAAATCCGCGTTCACCTTTTCGATAAAACAACTCTCCCACCGCTCCGTTACGTAGCAGAGACGTGCGCTGATACTTCAACTACGTCAACAATACGGTGCATTCATAACAGACCGCCTGGACGATGTTTTCCGATGTATAATCGGCACATGCAACATCTAACCGAAAGGCGAAGTTCTGATCTTCAAAATCCATCCAATCTTTGAGACCCAGGTGAACACTCATTGATAGCAATATAAATGGGCTGCACACATAGTAAGAACGGAAGAAAAATTGACGACAGGAACTGTTGAGCGAAATCCATGGGCATGCACACGTCCTTTTGGAAAACCACTCAAACAATGGCAGCACGTAATCCTAACTAAAGTCAACCATCTGTAATCGCAGCTGCAGTTGTTTTGCAGATCACGGTATGAAACCCATACACCCTAGCATGCTCAACTCAAGCCACCATCATGTACAATAATTTCAAGGCAATGAAACGAATGGAATATGCGATAGAGTCCGTTTTCGTGAAGATGGGTCGCACTGACATCCAAGTAAGTGTTCTGTAAATCAATTTCACCAGAAGCCTCTAAATAAGCGACTGGGAAGTATATAGCAAGTGGTTACCAGTCGCCACCAACAAGTAAGTTCCACATCTAATCTGAGGGAGAATGGCAAGACACCTGTGAGTGTCAGTTGGCGAACACAGCTAAATATATGACCTCATTCCGCTGACACCAAAAGCCCTGATGCACCAAGTTTGGGTGGGTCTAAAATGGAGAAGCAGCTGAAACCACAGGGCCATTTAAGGCTGCCTAAATCTGGAAGGACTTAGATGACAGGTTGCAGTATAACACATGCACACTAGCACCCTGATCACACATGCTGGACGTCATCGTTTGAAAGAGACTTCATTACGCAGAAATATAACTGCGTCTATGACACCGAAGAACTACTTTCCCAGAGTGCGACATTACAGGTGTTCGTGAGGTCAGCGTTCGAGTCACCAAGAATTTGGCCATAAACCACTACTCTGAAGAACTAAAAAAAATAGTAAGCCTACAGTTGAAAAAACTGGATCAATTTCTGCTTTGAAGTGCTTCGTTCTCTACGTCCTGCATCAACACAGCTATGAAGAAAATTTTCAGAAGCACCCGAGCTAGTAAGCTAATGATTAAACGTGTAGCCAAGGCATCTGCCAACTCACGTGAAATATGCGAAGCACTGCGAAAATGCAATAAGGAACGATTTTAAAAACAAAAAAAGTAACGGCTAAGGGTGCAGAGGTCGGGAGGAGCATTAGCAAAGTATAACCTAGTCAATTCCAAGATCAAGACAATCGTTCTCCTTTTCTCAAAAGGGACAGTTACGCCTTTCAGAAAACCGAAGGAAGAAACAATCCACGATTTCTATTTTCTGGTCTTCAACAGCCATATCCTCCTCCCTCACATGAAATTAAGGAGGATGGACATGTCACTCCACCAATTCCAAAATCCGAAATCCGACAAGCTTCCACATAACAAAGGAACTAGACAAGGTTAGATCCAAGAAAAATCTTCCTATTGGAGACTCGCCCAATCTGCCTGCTATGTCCATAACCTCTTTATTCGAGTGATTCGTAATTAGATTGGCAGTACACTGGATGAAGAAAAGATACGTAAGCAAGCAGTTTTTACAAAAGTATTCAAAAGGAAAGACAACAACTACACGATATCGAGACTTACTGAAGTATCGCAAGAGTACGAGAGGTCGCTGTCTCACGTCCATACTCTTAAAAAATGGCCTTTGACAGTTGAGCCATCAAGCATTCACAGGAACTCATGAGCACGAAAGCAAGTACCCAGGGCGCCTCTATTTGGAAAATTAAGAGCCTTCGTGAACTATTTAAAAATGTCACGAATGAAACATCACAATGATTCTTAATCGGAAACAATAATGTAAACAGAGGGATTCGACAAGGCGATAACATCTTGCCGAAATTACTTACGCCAATCCTCTAGAACCTCATACGAAAATTCGAATGGAACAACAACAAAGCTAAAACCGGTGGTCGACTTACACCATCTTCACTTCGCTGATGATACATTCCTTATAACACTAAACACAAGTCAGGAAAAACGAATACTGGCAAATTTTATCGATGCCTGTGCAAAGATTGGTCCTCGACTAAGTCCCATGAACGATGTCCATCGAAACGGACTTGTTTACGATGCCCTATTTACCCTCAATGGAACAATATCTTGGAACACGAGAGCTATATTTATCTGGGCCAGGAAGTTAGTGAACAACATAGCTATGGAGTTGGGTAAGAGGAATCGAGCGGCTTGGGGAGTTCAAAACAGTACCGAAGATATAGTAAAAAGCGCTAAGAACACTCAATTTCTTACCTACCTATGCGTATCTACAATTCTTCATGCCTTAACGTAGACGTCCGAAACATGGTAATTACGAAACAGAATGAAAGAATAGTGTCATGGAACACATGGTCGAGAGAACGATGCTGGGAGTATACCACAACTATAAAAAACCAGAGACGCTCTTGTGTATGCCAAAATCTCGAAAACTAGTTGTATGGGAAACATGAGACGGCCTAATGGCAACTGTTGAGAGCCTTTTCGCACTGGTCATATTTTGAGATGCCAAGGGCACACTAGGAAGACCACCGACCCGATGGTCAGGACCAAATTAAATGAGAATTAGTAAAACAAAAGTATTAGACGTTAATAATTTCCGTCCTATTTACCCGAAGATGAGTGTGAGGATAGGTGATACAATATATGTGACTTTACGTAACAACATGCACAAAGAGTTTTACACCCTGGATACACCCTAAATATCTATATAATTAATCGACTACCTACCTTTCATAGCAATTTTAAAATAGTGCACATATGATGTTAAGAGTGCACTACGACCATGAAAATCTAAGCAGGAGTCGAGTAACATTGTACATATCTTTACCAATTGACCGAGAGTTTCGAAGCAGACACTTGACAGTGATTCTAAAAAGTTTTATGAGACCCTTATTGTACCGAAACTACTGAGCTAGACTCAAAAAACCGAGAACCTGAGTATGGCCGATTCGCAATTAAAGCAATTAACTTGTCTAGGATATTGTAAAGAAAGGCAACCATTGGTTCTGGACGAGCCTTAGTAACTCCCTAAATAGGAAAGGTAACAATGTGAAATTACGTGAATATTTTACAGCAAGTGAAGTAGCAGAATGATTACCTCAACATAATGATATAAAAAGAACATTAGTACGAATGATAAGAAGCAACAGTATACAAAACTATTTGAAGTAAGTGTAAAATCAAGCATTATATTAGATTTCCGTCGAGAATTCAAGAAATTAATGCGCATTTACATGAACTGCAGCAATCAGGAAACTTTCACTCATCGGTGGCTTTTTTCTATCTGTTGAAGATAACGAGTTGACTGCAATGAAAAACCTCTCGAGATGCTCGTCCTGAAATTAGACATTTGTAGGCACAGACGAAAACATTTAAGAATAGGCCTGTTCAAGTTATAGGTTGCTCGCTAATCAAGTCAGAATTTCAAAATGTATCTTTGAAATGAGTCATTTTAGCTCAGAACAAACCTTGTTAATAGGAATAAAAACCAGTATAATCCACACTTCACCAACGAGACACACGCCTACTTCAGTTACACAGAACTCTGAAATCTAGAGTCGACCAAGCCGCTGATGGCGTTTCAGCCTCAGCTTGGATTTCTGAAGCAATTCTCGTATAGGATGCCATAAAGGTGCTTGAAGAGGTGATAGTCGCTGCGTGGGAGGTCTGGCCAGTATTGTGGATGAGACAGACTTTCGTAGACCAGCTCTTTCAACCTTCTCAGCCTAGGTTGCCCTCATGTTGTCGCCCATTATTACGCAGATCCATTGATCCCACAGTGTTGACCAATACTGGGGCAGATTCTGAAGTAACTGATGAATTCCATTTGCTGGATGTATTTCGGCGCCGCCATCGTTTCACTCGAATTCAGAAGCCGCTGTGAATCAAATAGTGGCAAACCACGACAATACGCTCGAGGAACGAATCGTTCTAATTCGATTAAATTCAGCGCTGTTAATAATAGAAGGATGTTTGCAACCTTCTTCATCTTAAGGTCAAATTTGTCAGGATGAAATTTTTTAAACCAACGTTGCAAAGTGCATTCATTAACACTTTACCAGCCCTATATCACATCAATATTTCTGATTGTTTCTACTGTACCATAACCGAGTTTGAAATCGTTGAGGTATATCTCTTTAATGTGCTGTCTGACATCTTAATTTCTAACCTTTAAAAACTGGCAAGAAGGCAATTTATATTGTAATCCAATTATATAGCGTGAAAGTGCATAAAATTAGCTTTGCAATGACGTAAAATAGTACATAACTCGAAGAAAAACGAATGGTAAAATATACACATGAATAATGAAACTGCGCTCACCTGAGGGTGAACAGTGCTCACAGCCGTGATACTCAAAGTAAACGCCGGCCTATGACCGTCAAGCCAACGAACATTCGGTAACGCTACATCGGGAGAGAGATATCCGTAACTTGCAGGTAGACGATCAAGACAAATTGGAAGATTAAAGTCACCAGTGGTAAGTCGGCCATCTCGAAATAACGGTAACCACTAAAAAGTCACTCGTGTTAATCTCAAAAAAAAAACAATATTAGTAATTAAAAACGTACACTGTATCCAATAGGAAATTCAACTTCTTCATCCTTGTTGTTTGGTTTGCACGATATGTGATAAAAAGTAAACAATAAGTGATGTCCATCATCTAGATCAACAGGTATACGAAGCTTGATCTCATCCGCAATATGGGGTGTCCTGAAAGAGCAATTCGAATTATCCAAAAAGTGAAAAAAATCAGTACTTGGTAAAAGAAAAAAAGTAAATTCACTTATTGTGGTAAACTACGGTTGTTCTCTCCACTGAAACCATGTGCGACCCTGCACCTCTAGAAAAGAATACTGGTAGTGGTTGTTCTCGTCCATTCATCAACTCCAATTTAATTGAAATATTACGGGCAGTACCGGGACGATTAGATAAGTTCGCAAATTTCGGATAGATATATAGTAAGTTCCTATAACAAACGAATAATATTATGTAAGAATAGACAAATTCAAAGACCTGACAAAGACGAGGCGTAAGATCTGCAAAAGGCAAGATAATAAAATTTAGAAAATTTCAGAAAAAGTAGAAAATAATAATTCCTCGGTGACTTTCTGTCAATTTAAATATAAAATAACACAAAATAATCCTGCCTGTAACTTGTATTTGCCATGTAGAAACCTTTTGCTGGGAATTCCTGGATGTCTTTAGTTAGCTCCGAACCAGGTCCTACATTGAAGGGTGCTACACGTAGCATTTCAGGACTAAGGCGCATTAACAGCTCCTCTGCTGTACCACCTAAATTTTTCGAAGGATATTATAAAACAATCGATTACCATCGACAGTTTCTCAGCAATGGGAAGTCTACATAATGTACTTGAAATACACAATGACAAACGAAAAAATTTTATTATTCCTTCAACGGTAAAGTTTGGGGTCACACATTCGTAAGGAAACATGCTCGTCCGATCAAAACAAATCTACCCATAGGAAAAACCTAAAGTTCTTTTTATTCACTGACAACGATCCACGTATAACAAAGCACAGTACACACCGTTGACGATCGACCCAAGATATAACACGACCTTCGAATCAAAGTCCCGGCTCTAATTGGTGACCAAAGTTAAGCGATTGCAACCATAATGATGCTGATACATGTGCAAAACTCCAGACCGAAGGTGCCTGCAACGGGATCGAACACGAAATCACCTTTTCCGGGAGTTAACGTGTTCACCACCACAGAAATTTTGCAAATGTCTCAGCATCATTGTGGTTGCATCTTATGTTATATCCTGTGAGAAGAAAAAAAGAATAGGCAGTAAGTAAAAACTGACTACATGATTTAAGCGACTGCTCCCTTACCTTAACAATAAAGTAAAGAATTCGTTTCATTCCACGCTGCACTTCACTTCAAAAAATTCGGCTCAACAAAACCATTAGTATATTCGCAACAACGCATTGATTTCAATGTACTTTTACCCAAAAGTAGTTTCACCTGTTAAATTTAAATAAGAATATCTATGGTCTTCCTCAATTTTTTGAACACTTAACACCCAACGTTCAAATTTACGTGCTTGCCACATAACACAATGCTTGTAACGACTACACGAAAAGTAGGAGTCAGCAACAATTTGAACACGGAACTGCTGGCTTTTCAACAATGAACGACAAGTTTCCAACAGCTAGCTGATTATTGGGTCGAGTTAGTTACAACGTTGTAGAAAAGAGTTTCAACTTAGAAGCATGTAGCTACCAGATCATTTATAGTTCCCACATCGAAAGAAATCGGCAGTAATATCATTGCTCTGGAGTTGCCCCTTCTTTACCTCTTTCTATTTCTTCCTTCTATTGCTCTTAAAACTTCAGAGTGTAGAATCCTAGACGGTTTTTCCTCAGCGGTAATTTCGCAGTCGAAAATAGAGACCCCTACTTCTCCACACTAGCTCGTTTATGGTCGACTTCCAATAACTGTTTCTGCACGTAGCAATGTAAACTGCCTGTAAAAATCTTCTGCAAGTGGCATTCATTAACAGTCGTCTTAGGTGCGTTGTAGTCAGACCAAGTTTCAGCTTCTTCTTTTCGAGCAACCCCTTAGCAGTGTTCCAGATTTTCCCTTTCTGAACGCAAGACGTCATGTGGGTTACAAGAAATACATGTAATTTAGGGCCAACAGCTCTAAGGAAATCGGCGGTGACATTACCTGATTGGAGATGTGCCTCTCTTCATACTTTCTTCGGGAACTCGAACTTCAGAGGATAGAATCCTGGGCGATTTTTCAGCACCGTGGAATCCGTCGACCGAGACGGGATTGATGGAGTGGAAAAGATTGTTACTAAACTATTCCGTTACCAATTTCATGTCATGGCGGGTGCAGTGAGAATCCTATCTCCGTTCATCTGGCCGGATAGCGGAGCATTATACTCGCAAAGATCCCGACGGCACTTCTTCAGACTAGATCGTTCTTGAGCTGCTTCTAATAACTATTTCTGCCTATGACGATGTCATTGCTCCAGCAAGGATATTCCACAGCTGCAATTTATTATCAGCAGTGTTACGTGTTGCATTAGGATCCAGCTTCAGGTTCCTTCCGTCTGTAATGGAGACGCGGTCTGAAGTTCTTCTTTAACAAAATGATGCGAGTTCGACACAAGCATTAATTCCTCTGACGAGCAGCTTGAAGTCCTTGATCACGTCTCCGCTTATGTGGCACTCATAAAAGAAGAGGATTTAATTGATTATATCTTCCTACACGACTTGTCCTGTTCTCCATGGACGATGATAAGAGCCCGTTTCTAGCTCATGAATGAATCGAATCTTTGGGACGGTAATCGGATCCGATAAAGAATGTTGGCACCATTGAGGTTTCAAAGAACCACCATCTTCTGTTTGTCAGAATGTGGTCAATCTCTGTACAAATAGTGCTGTTAGGAGACACCCATGTCCGTCGGCAGTTTTCTCTCCTCTTGAAAAATAAACTCCTGCGAAAAGATAGATGCTACGGATAGAACTCCTGCATGACGGTTTTCATTCCCATTTCAACCTCCACTTCCGAGCTTTCCTATCCTGCACACATTTTCATTGGTTTTTCCTATTTTGGCATTCAAGCCTGCAACAACGAATTTGCAAGAATTTCCGTTAAGCATCACTTCCTCCATCTGCAAATTGGTGAGTAGTAGTTGATGACACTGCCTCGATTATGACGCGAAAGCCTGGGATACCTGGCAAGCGAGGCGATAGGCTTTTTCAATTGCTCTTTGCTTCTTGTAGGACCTCAACATGGAATTTGGTGTGACCAGCGGCCTCAACAAGTGCGTAAATATCGGCGCCCAACGAGAATGTGCGTGTTATACGTGCAAACCAAAAACGTGATCCCATGGTGTATCGTGGGCGTGCTCGTTTTGCCCGTTTCAAATGGCTTCTGCACAATCCGGGAGTTGATCGCTTCTGATCGATTGTTTCACCTCTCAACTTTTCATACAGAAATGATCGGTGTGTGGGGTGGTCAGACTGCATTATTGCAGAACGAGCGATATGTGGTTCCCTAGAATGCCGAGGCCTGTCTAGCAGGCACTCTCAGGTAGTCACCGCCAAAGAGACCGACGACTCCTATGGACTACAGTGAGATTTACCTCGTTTAGATTAATTTCAAACTAGTAAGGCGGTGATTCCTGGTATTAGTTCACTCTTAGGTGGGCTTCCTGATGGAAATGCCGGAATACTTCTCAGCTTGGCATAACCTGCCAGGTTAATAAATCCCCCGCTGTACCTCGTAGTCCGACACTCAGGAACACCTCCCAGCCACGATGAGGCGGTAAACCTTTGGGAGAAATGTAAAACTTAAGTTCTCATAATACTTTGCAGTCTACACTGAGTCTAATTCGGTCTTTCACCTAACCACACATTTAATACAACGACCATAGTGATTCAAACTAAATAATGGCTAACTGTTAATTAGGTTATCGCTCAATGAACTTTTCGAAAAAAAGGTTTTGTAAATCACTAAGTGTAGAGAATAGTTTTTCTAGTCTCAGTCCTACCATTTTCATTTTGATCTGTTTTCGATTAGCTACAGAATACTATACATAAACAAGAAAAAAACTAAAGAAAAACTACTGAACCCATTAAAATGAATACACTATCGTGTTCATACGGTCGTTTGTTCCAAACCACCATAAACACTTTAGTGTCTATATGAGGTGGAATAAAAAAAAGATAAAGCTCTCGAGGTTCGCTGAGAGATGCACCATGCATTCGAGTTCACTGAGCATCGCTGGTGGCGAATGAATGTATATCTGATCTGTTAGCCTTTACAATGGCTCGCAGTGGCCTACCGTTGCATTGAACCAGTGCTACCATCCTCCTCGACAAGCTTGGTACCAATTTGCGGACGTAGGAGGGATGGAAGGCTTGGTGAGCCTTGGGCGCAAAGATCGATCGCATGTGTATTGCAGGGCGCCTCCGACCACTGCGCAACACGGGGCGGAATATCTTAACTAATGTCTTGGAATGGCTCGTGTTCCTGACCGATAGTTGTGTAAGAAACTCTTCATCAACGTCTCCATCACAAAACCTTTCAGTCCAACGTTGTAACAGTGGTTTTCCGTTGATCTCTTAATCAAATTTCATTGAAATACTTAGACGTTTCGGTGCCTTCAGCCTGAAGTGCGTATTTGTGCAAAAAATTTACCGAATTCGCTTCTTACAGTTCTTATTCTAATAGCCCCGTTGAGTGCACCGTTCAGCAAAACAAGGAGGCCATAAAACGCCCTGTGAAAACGCCACTTTCAAGAAGCGAAAGCGCACTCACAAAAAAAAATTATAAAAAGGTGCCAGCCATCTCCACATTGCAAAATCACTCAATTCGCACTGAATAGGATGAATAAAGGCTAAATGAAACAGAATTGTAAACAACACAATAACTTCACCTTTACAGACTATGTAAATCCAAAATAGGCAAGAAAAATTTATCAGCCATCTTAAGAATAAGTGAAAAAAAACGAAAAAAATAAAAAAAGAAAATATATAGAAATCACTTTGGTGACATACCCGACAATTGGATAGACAAATCTGCAGTAAAGGTTTTCAATCGAGACAGTTTCCCTCCAGGTCGCCGGGCATCGGCTAACAGTTTGTACAGGTCTTCATCACTTAGACGTTCTGCTTCCTATAAGAAATATTTATTTGTCACCACTAGCAATATTTGCCACTTATCAGTAATGCAGTAACCTGTCGAAAAAACGAGTTAAGATTTAGCAGAACTGGTTGAAGGTTTGCCAAATTCGTTTCCAACGATTTTTCTACAGCAGAACCATCCACGGTGTTCGAGTCGTCATTGCCTTAGACAAGATGAAGCTTGCTAAAAATAGTTGTTTAAAAGAATTATTGGGATCCTTACCTCCGCCACCACCTCCACCAAGGAATTTGCGTCGTTGAAGTGGTGTACGAACACGATTTAGCATCGCAGAAGCTGAGGTTCCACTACCCATCCTTCGAAATGTCGATGTCGACGATGTTGAAACACGATCAGCACTAACTATGCTATCGGTTTCGCCAGAAATACTGGCCAGAGGAGCAGTCGGTTCACCTGAAGGATACCATATATGCGCATTAGGAACTAGTATCATAATTTAATAATAATGACCTGTAGTGGTGGTCATCGATCCTGTGGTCATCGTCGAGATGTTCATTTCTGAACGTTCAAGTGAATTCGCACCCACTAACACTTTTTGCAGATCAACAATCATGAAACCAAGAGGCATCCGGAATGCTCCTAAAACGTCGTGAAAAGCCATACGCTTTCGTCAATGATACACAGCTCTAGTCGTTAGGGAGTAAACCTATTTCGAATCAACCTAATCTTTCACAGTAGTCCACGGCCGTTGCAAACAACTTTTCACGTGATCTGTCATCACGGGCGGCCGAGTTTGTGTACGGTTCGGATGCATCGGTAATTTCGCATGCTTGCAACACTTTTTCAAGCTGAAAACAAACAAGTTTTCATAAATTAATAACGCGTGGAATCAGGCGAGTGACATGTTTCTACCGCGTCATATATGCACTAGTATGTATAAAACCCAAAAACGAATACTCATGGATAGAACGGTCCTGAAAGAAATCGCGTTCTCAGCGAGAATTTATCAATATTAGGCCATAAAATCTCCACTCCAAGCTGCAAAATAAATCTCCAAGCTGCAAAATAAAGTGAAGTGCTACCTTAATGACCATGAATAGGTCCATTAGCGGACATGAGATACTAAATGCCGCCTGGTTACACCTGAAAAAGAAATTTTGATCCAAAGAAGCGACAACTGATAAGAACTTACCGCGGAGTATCACCGAAACACTGTGATTTCTCGTTGATCATCCGCCTTATTTCGACCGGATTTACGTCGAAATAAAAGTTTTCACTAACTTTACGTCGAGCCTTTGCATCGTAAATCGTTATAGAACCGAAAACTGGTTCAAAATACGGGTTCATTGTCAGCTGAAATTATAAAAATCAACAGTCATGCTGAATTTATATTTCTCGAAAATTTACAACATTTAAAAAAAGAAACTTTGGAATTTTCACTGAAATTTGCGAACACATGGCGAGAAGGAAGGGAAAGATCTCATTATTTATGAGAGCTTTAGCAATATAGAACAATCTTTATATTATACCCGCCTACAAATATGTATATCAAATCACTTTACATCACTTTATGGGCCAAAAGTGGATGTTCTATGGATAGAATGTTCTCCAAATCTTGTTATATAAAGAAGCATATAGCGCAGTAGTTATAGGTGCCTTCTCGAGGTACATACACGCTAGGTCGTTAGTTCGATTCCACACCCTGGACTAATCAAGAGCTTTATTGCTCTGGAGTTGACAGGCTGGTATCACACTCGTCTGGAAGATGCAAAACACTGTGTTACTATATTGTATGGTCCTGTAATCGCTCTCGCACGATTTAGTACCTTCGTTCAGCAATGATTCATTGAAAAGCTACAACAAGTTCCTTGTTAACATTAAATGCTAATGTTAACAATCACTTAATGTAATCCCTGCATTTTCCAGTCATACTAATCTATTCCACGGATCTCCCTCATGTGAGGGATCTTGAGCCGGTTAGTCGCGAGGCTACGAGGCGCGTCCCCTAGTGGCGGATAGGGGGCTAATCGCGGACCAAAGGCGACCTTTGATACCCTGAGACGCAGATGGATCCGGTAGAGGGACTGTTCCTGCTGCTGCGCCGATTTCGCACATAATTTCTGTATTTACGAGGCATATTCATACACGCGTGTGTGAGTACGTTCTACTTTATGTGGACTGTATTCTAGGAGTCAATTCGGCCAAAAACCTGCAAGTGATAAAGAAGCATATGGGAGGCGGTTAGAAGTCACCTCCAACAAACAAGCTCCATGTCTACTCCGAGAGAGCCTGGCAAGCAACTCGTCAGTATACCCAGCCCCACGTTCAGAACTCAGCAAGCCATACGTGGGTATCAAAATACTAAACACAGGTGTTATGGAGGTGTTTGGCCGAGTGGATTGCTGTCAACTTGACCCTTCCAGGCTCTGAGGAAAGCGAAATTCGCCGAAACGTCAGCTTGTGCGTAAATAAAGAAATCAAATAGCACCTCGTGTTTGCTGAACAGAAGTATAAAGATACTAAACACAGTTGAAAAAACGGGCCTCATTCCCATGACCCCGAAAGAGCTCCCAATTTCACAGCATTGGGTAGGACGAGTACCGAGAGGCTGCTAAAATCTCAGGGCTAATGGAAGCTGCCTGGATTTCAAAGAACTACGATGACGACCTGTACCTACAATGCACGTACACTTGCATCCGAGTCCTCCATAGAACACTTGCTCATGCAAGCAAGAAGAAGGACAACGCACGACGTCATCGGCCTGGATGAGACGAGAAGACGCCACACTCTCAACGCCGTCTATGACACCGGAGAAGAACTTTTCCTCGGAACATGCGACAGTAGACGAGTCGGCTTCGTCGGCGTTCTCGTCAACACGAGTTTATCCATGAACATCGATTTATTCGAACAAATTACAACCCGAATTGGACGTTTACGATTAAACAGACGAACCAATTCCGCCTTCGAGAATCTTCGTCGTTTACGTGCCGACATCAAACTATGACGAAGAAGAAGTCGAAGCGTTCTATATCGACTTGGAGAAGTTCTACAGAGAAGACCACACATTCTTCAAGGTCATCATTGAAGATTTCAACGCCAAGATTGGACCAAGAAAACGTCACATTGGTACCCACGGATTAGAATGGACGGAACAGAGTGAGCGGCTCTCTGAGTTTATCTTGATAGCCAAGGCCATCCATGGTAACTCGCAATTCCAGAAGCCCCACCCTCAACGCTGAACGTGGGAGTCTCCCAATGGAAAGTACCATAACGAAATAGACCACATCGCAGTAAATAAAAGGTTTTGCCTAACCGATGTCGCTGCTGTCCCAAAATTCCACACGGGATCAGACCATCGTCTCCTTCGTGTAAGATTCTATTTATCGCAGAAAGGAGAAAAGCCGCTAAATTCAAAAACCAAAGTCCCAGAACCACCGCAGACAGGGACTTATCCTTATCATTAGTCGGCTGTTGGAAAGATACCGTTGTCGATAACATCGACGAAAAATACGATAGGCTCATTCAACAACTTCACGTTAGCGCTATGAAAGATGAGAGTTCAAAAGTCACCAAGAGACGTTTGTCTCCAGAAACACTCGAGCTGATAAGTCAGCGTGGAATCACACAAGCTACAGGCAACCACCAACTCATATTCGAACTTCCAAAACAATGCACACAGGCGATAAAAGAAGATCTAAAAGAATGAAGAGCAGCAGTAATGGTCGAAGCTGCAGAGGCTGGAAAAAGCATTCGTAAAGCCCACCGAAGCTTTGCCGATTACAAGACGAATATGATTGCATTCCGACGTCCAGACAGAACAGTTACAGCGTTCAAAAAGGCAATGGAGAAAATCATTCACGAATACTACTCGGATCTCTCCGATAGCCACGTCCGCCTTCGGTCATATAAAATAAGCTGGGACCTGGTAGTGATACCGTTCAATGCACCCAAAGCCCTGGTCCACGCAACGCTGGGCAAAGGCCATAATCAATCCCGTGTACGGAAATTAGTATCATACATGTCAGGAATTAGCTCACTTCCTGCAATCCACAAGACAGGGCATCTGCCTGTGGTGAAGGTATGGGAATACTCTAAAGTACACCAGGATTATAAGGAGAATCAAATACACTAACATTCAAAGACTTCTAAAAAAGTACTACAGTATTCAAGCAGCACTCAAAGCACACTCTAATTTGAATACTTTCGTGGAAGACAGAAACCAGGAAAGGGGTCGAATACAGGAAGCGCTGGTGTATCCACAACGTGTGGTGTTGGGTTAGGTAAAAAATAATCCATGAAAAAGTATCACGCCTTCACAGCAACGCGCAAACGGGAAGGCACAACAAGTAACGCATGTTGATTTTAATGAAATTTATTTTGGATGGTTTTTCTTTTCGCGCACAGGTTTTTTGCTGGACTTCTTGCATTCAGCCGATAGCTTACCCATCAAACAGTTGCAGTTCGAGAACAGCTATATTCTGCACTCTTTGCTCTGTAAAGGATAAAAGGATAAAACTTCCGACATTGTTCAATACCCAAGGGATATGCTGTAGATTAGATTTCAACAAAAACCGCAGAGGAGTCTGAATGCATACCTCACCCATATGCTGACTTGTGGTTGCTTGCGGATGTATCAAATCAATGAGTTTATCCTCCAAGACAAGTTTGGTACCAATTTCTCAGCTCCAAATGAATGAAAAACGTGGGAAACATGATGAGCTCAGGGAGGGAGGTCGAACCAGCGACCGATTCAATGTGTATCACAGAGTACCTTAAACCACTGCACTACAAATGTCTCTTATAAGCGTACTTAATAGCAAGCATAAACTGATTATCGGAAGAGTTGTTCGTACGACTACACCAAGATATCTTTTCCCCACTAATGAAAGTGCATGAGTTCAATGGTGAATAATTGCTTTTTATTCTGAGAAATAGCGCAATGAATGTTTCTAGTGAAGCATTCGGCCTAATTGATTTTTGTGAGATGGTGAAGCTGAGAGGAGCAACATGATTTCGATTTAACTAGCATATGACAAGGAAAAATTTTGCACCATCGTTCGCGGCAAATCACATGTTGTTTCCAATTTACCAATTCTCCGAGTCTATAGATCAAACTATATAGGTAAAAATAAGCGGCTCCATGGAAACTCCGGCTATAAAATAAGTTCCTACTACCTCCTGCGAGCACATTGTTCTTTTTGCCGTTTCGTCGCAAGTTGTAACCTTTACTTACTCCCTATTATTTTTTCGTAGCATAGTACGATGCGAGATATAACAAGGATACTGCAATATGAGCACACTATATGCCAAATTAGATATGAGTGACTGTAGCCCTAGCTCCAACTGAGTTCAGTGCCGAGTTGTATTCTCCATATCATTCCTACTAACGGGTGGCTTCCGAAAGTACCGATAGAGTAAAAGTATGGCTGAAAGAAAAGCAAGAGCCCTGGTTGGTGCGGTGTATAGCACATGAGCCCCTAACATGAGTAAGGGTAAACGCGGGGCGAACCCCAACTGAGGTTCCGAGTTTTACTTATATCTCAGCATACTTGTGGCTGTACTTCGTGGTATGGTTGTAAACATGATCACTTATGAAGTAGGACACCGATAAATACGATCATAAGTACTATGAAATAGTCCTAAATGAATTTTATGTGAATATAAAGCTTAGTTACTTACTTTGACAACTTTTACAATTAATTTTTGTCCCAGTCTCTCCTCTGGATATGGAGGCGTGGTCCTTTTCTCGATAACTGCCGACTAAAAAGTTCAAGCACAACCATACGAACACTCAACATTAGTTGGAAATTAATCCACTACTGTCACTTAAATCGTGTTGAAGAGGAAGAAGATTGATGAGATTCGTGTGGCGTCCAGACTGTCGCCGTGCATCACTCAACTGATCGAGGTGGGAGAAACTCGCTCGCTGAATCACACCTGAAAAAATGTTTTGTCTCTGCAGTAAAATTTAGTACAAATACTACTAACTCATAGATATTGTTATATAAAAGGCAAAAAAAGAGAAGTGTCGCTTCAAACACTGTAATAAACACCAGGAATTGTTGGATCAGGCTGGCTCTGATGAAGACGTGATTCACGCGATTCTCCTTCTGCTGAACCCATGGTGCCGGAGGATGCCGTGGATGCACACGACTGCCTTTTAGAAAACGAATCCTGAAAATCGATCACTGCGCAATCGTATTTAGCACGAACCATAGATACTATTAAAATGTCCAAAAAATGCATAATCGTACCACGCACTTACCCAATATTCAAAAAAAGATATGCATGCATAATATCGTTACATATTAACGTTCACCACTGGGAGAAAGCTATGTTATTCATACAATGGTTTTCCTTCATTCAGAGCTAATGTTTCATAGTTTCAAATTGTGTGGTGCAGTGGTCGGAGGCGCCCTGCAACCCACACATGGGATCGATTCCCGCGCTCCTGTCCCACCAAGCCATCTATTCCTCCGGGGTCGGCAAATACTAGTCTTATCTAGGAGGATAGCAGCACTGACTCGATACATCGGCAGGTCACCGCGAGTCATTGTAAAGGCCAGATATGTATTCAATCACCTGTAAACGATGCTTACTGAAATCGAATGCATAGCGCATCCCTCAGAGATTGATCAACGCCGAGAGCTTTATCCTCTTAATCCTTTAATCTCAAAACATTGTAATTGCCTACATAAGCTTCTAGTCTTTTAGTAGACTGAAAGTAAAGGTTAACAAGATTGTTCTCTCCTGCATCAATAACTATGGAGCCACATGTAGGATGCACGATTGTAGTGCAGTGGTGAGTGAATGGCTTCGGAGTAAACACGTGATCAGTTCTCAAAAAACCTGTGCAACTAAGAAGCCACAGTTTTCGTTTTCGATTCCTATTGTATCACTAAATTGCTATTCCAAACTAGTGAAGATATCGTACAGAACTCGTGAACAGTGGGATAACATACAACAGACATTTGGAGGCAAATCAAGCTAGGAATAAAATCATTAAATTTTAAAAAAAAACTAACCTGATCGCCGACAACGCTCACACTCCTTGCGATTCGGTCGGCATGACCGGCATCCGCTTCAAAAATTTGACGGCTTGTTGAACGAACAATGATAGGACGCTCAGTCACCATGCGAACATACGCATCAGCCGAACCGTACTGCTGGTACCTTGGGTAGAACAAAATTACATATTACAAAAGAGTTCTTGCAGTACTACAGTGGTTATCATAGCAGGAAAGCACCACTACATTTTAAGCCTTGAATCATTAAAGTATTTCATAGAAATCTGCACATAAGTCACCAAATAGTAATTGAATGCAAAAATCAAGGTGCAAATGATTAAATGAAAATAGTAATAGAAGAACGTTTGATATCCGTTACTTAAACACATTAGCCACGGTGGTGGTTTTGTGACAACTAAGCCCTGGAAGCCCTTAAATGAAATCGAATGCATGGCGCATCCTTCAGGGGTTGATTAACGCCGATAGTTTTATCCTTTAAAGCTTTAGCTTTAAGCCCTGGAAATCCTACGCATTACTACGTACTTTTAGGAGAAACTTTCCTCCATCGCTCTAATCGCATATTTGGTTCCTATAAAACTTCAGATGGACCTTAACTTCTTTAACTGGAAAGTTTAAAACGTTTAACACCAGCATAGCATAACCTTCAATGTGCATTTAGGATCAGCCTCAAAAAAAAGAAAAACAAGCGAAAAAACTTATGGGCCACAGAATATCAGAACTTAATTGCGACAGAAGATAGGTTGCACTTTTTTTGGGCAAAGATTTGAAGACTCTGATAATGTCCACTGTGAGCGGTGTTTTTGAACCTAGAAAGGCAATGCAAACCGTCTATGACTACGTATGACTCCTATATGAGTCATATGGTCGGTAATTTATTTAGGCTGTCGTACTGAAAAATATAACATAGCAAATTGCAACCAATGAAAAGAACAGTTATTGTAAGAAAAGCCTACCTCTTTTGTATTAACGAAAATTGGTCCGTGAATGACGAGATAATGTCCCGAACATGAGGTTCAATTTTCAAGCTTAAAACAAGAAGCCAGTAAATCACTGGTCTATATGAACGGAAAATATGGCAAACGATGACTGTAAAGCATCCAAATTCTCACTCTTTGGTTTCTGTGGGAATAGGTGAGTCAATAGTCGTCCACTCCCGAGGTACAATACGAACCTCAACGTCGTCAGCAGGAAATTCGCTGACTCTGGAAGAGCAAAAACAGGTTATCAGGCGAAGCTTGTATGGCCTTAGAAAAAAAAGGAAAACACCACTGTGAATGAAAAGGTAACGATAAATGAAATCGTTGACGTTGATTTATGTCTCAGGGACGCAGCACGCCTTATACTCCATTGAGCGTCATGGAAGCAAGTGAATGTATATATATCTATGGTGCTTTTAATCCTCCACAAATCTGAAGTCGACTTGCCGAACCTGAATAGTTGGCGGGCTGATGGTTAGCCCGGGACGCTGAATGCCGAATCAAAGACTGTGCACCACAGAGCACGTATAGGCATTTCCCTACACGGACCTGTCTTATATTTGTAAACACCATCCTTAATCGACACACATCAGCGAAAAGAGAACGAACAAATTTTCTTAAGTTGCACTTTAAAGTGTACTTTCTTGGACTTGTAGTTGTGGAAGAAATGTCGTAGAGTGCAGAAGTTCGGCGTTGGGCAAGGGCCTCCTCAACATCAACAGGGTCGACGACATCGATAAGGTTAAGCTGAAAAAAACTGGTATAAACTTCGAATCCTGAAAGCACATAAAACCACACTAACTATGACAGTAATCCACATTACGAAGTTGCAATATAAAGCATCTCCATGCTTCACAACTGAGATCAAACTTATTGTTTGCTATGAAAGAAACACCTTGAATCTAAAGAACAATCCTAACGACAAATAAACTTGGATACTTGGAAGGCCCGTTCTCACTGGTTGTGCGAGCTACAGCACACTCTCCACTTTTCGGAGTTTTGTTGGCGTAGTAATTGTGCGCCCTGGAGACCCGAGGTCAGCCTGGCCAAATTCCAGCCCCAGGTCATCACCACCACAGGCAGTCACGGCAATTGTGGATCAGAGGGAAAATTTGCTTCCATGCGAATAGTTTGATACCAGGATAGTAGTGGATCCTGGCACTGGTTTACTTCTAGTTGAGATCCCTGATGGAAACGCCGGACTCCTTCTCAGCTTGGGAGACCCTGCTGGTGGGATAACTCCCATCGCTGTACATCACAGCACGACATCCAGGAACACCTTCCAGCCACGATGAGGCGGTAAACCATTGGGAGGCAGATTTTCACCTCTATTGTTCACAAACATTGATGATAAAACAGCAACCAGAAAAGCGCTAAAATTATTGGATTTCACAGTCGAGTTCAAACAAACAATGACTTCAAAACATGTGAAAGTGACCACAAGGAAACCTATTCGAACAATGATTGAGTAGATGAACGCAAAAGTGATCAAACCAAATGACCGTCTGCGTGGCAGATCCGTCCTGAAACGTCATATCGAGAGATGCTGGATGCAACATCATCAAACTGCCAGTCATTACGTGTTTTCGAACATCTGCCGCCGTCATTCTACAAAACAATGGTCGCGTCGTCGGATAAGTTAATCTTAGGAAGACCTCCGCCAAAGGCATTTTACATAATTGGCACCTGTTCATACAGCAACTAGATATACACATTTGAAAACCCTGAACCTACGGTATTTTTGTTTTACTTACCAACAAGAAGGGAGAGACCGTATAATTTTATAAATACCCGACATACTCGATATTTCGCCTTAGCAATGGACGTCTAAGATTTTCAGTTACATTTTCACGTAGTGTTTGTGTTCTCCAACACGAATGCTCTTACCGATTACGCTTCCCTGCGAAAGCACGTTGAGAAGGAGCCCCAACGAGTGACGTCATCTCATCGACAGAAACCTGAGAGCGCTCACTAGATTTTCAGTATCTATGAAATTCCAGAAATATACGAGAGTACTGCAAATTTATCTGCTAATAACAGGAGATGAAACATATTTCTTTAACGAAAAAATGTTTCATTCCGGGTGAAAAAACAGGGAAAGTAAGAACAAAAGTATCTAATGGCTAAGTACGGAGCTTGATGATCGCTTAATACATATACAGAAGGGAAATGATTCTTTTGGCAAAAGAAGTCGCACAAGAGACACAAGAGCTAGCACAAGAGAGGAGTGTTGTGCACGTGCTGGATGAAAACAATGAACAACGCGAAGAGAATTCGCAATGGAGTTCGGCAGAGCTACTGCCAACTATAATAATAAATATTCGATCCAAAGGGCGGATGGCACAGTGGTAGTGATGCCCGTCATCATGAGTATGGTGCTAGTTCGACTTCGCTCCGGAACAACCAAGCCTTTCATCCCTCCGTGATCGAGAAATTGGTACCGGACTTGCCTAAGAGAAAATCACTCTCTGTAATCCAATTGTGAACGCTCCAACCCGGCTCTCTCAGCACTCTAGGGCAAATTACTCGGCCACAGAAAATCCTCAAGCAGCAACGGAAGCCACACATAGGGTTGGAAGATCTTCGTGGACAATGTGTGCGAGGAAACGAATAGAATGTGAGAAGTGCTGAGATCCGAAAGGTAGACGTTAAAACGGCTCAAAATAAAATTTAAAAAATATCCGATCCCGAAACGAAGGTCGATAAAACAAAAACCTGAATTGTACGAATATCAACACAGTGATAGTTATGGTACAACCACAACAGTTGTACGGACCCCATTCCTCTGGTTCGATTTACAGTTTAAAAGACTCCACCAGTCCACATCGCCATTCATTTTGGCGCATATTAACTAAACAACTTCAAACAGCCCAAATAGAATATCTCAGATTGAAGTAGAACTGTGGGTAACGCATGCCTCCTGTGGAACTCCAAAACATTGTTAAAAAGGACTGATGAGGAAGGAATTTGAAGAACAAAGTGAAACGGCAAAAACGTAGTGAAATGGAACTCATGAGATGGCTTGTTAAAAGATTGAAAGCATCGTTTAAATGTCATGAAAAATACGTTACCTACATTCACAGCAACGCTTGAAAACCAACTTGAAAGTGAAGACTAAGAATAATGCCATTTAAGGCTGTCAAATAGGGAAGTGATCCATGAAATGTACCGGAAAATGTTGTTAAAAAAGAGGGAGACTGAGCGCCAGAGCGAAGCAGTTTGGAAAAAGGAACGGAGAGTTGGGTCCACCTCGACGAGTTTCAAACCATCAACGAATGTTAGCCAGAAAAACCCGGATTTCAGAGTAGAAGGCTCAAATTCCGCTAGATTTAATTGAGAACAGAGTTAATAAGTGTCTTCACCGAAACAGATTAACGGCGAATGAAAACGAAGGCTAACGGGAGCCAGGTCGGACATCGCGATGTCCAAATCCATAGACGCGGCGTAAATATTGGCATTGTAGCACGTCTCGCACTACCGTGTTGATAGAAATGAAAATGAATTGAGTAGAAAAAGATTAGGAAAGATCGTTGGCAAGCACTGTTGCCGAAACGACCACACCTCATTTCCATCCGTTGCTCATTGTCGTCTAAAGCTGGAGATCGAGAAAGTTAAAGAAAACCCTCGGCGTTGATCAATCCCTGAGGAATGCGCCGTGCGTTCAACTTCATTAAGCATCGTTGGAGGTGATCGATGCATATTTGACTTTTACAGTGACTCGCTGTAGTCTACAGATGTGTCCAGTCAGTGCTGCTATCCACCCAGACAAGTCTGGTACCAATTTGCAGACCCTGAAGGGGTGGAAGGCTTGGTGAGCCCTGGGCGCGGGATCGATCCAAGGTGTATTGCAGGGCGCATCCGACCTCTGCGCCACACGCGCCCTCGAGAAAGTAGTGGTGATTAAACTATGCCAACACGGAAATCCAGAATCGTGGGAAGTAGCTGCAGGCACCAAGCAGTAGAAAATCCGCAAAAATTTACCTGTAGCTATATTTGTTTTCAAAGATATTGGAAGTTATTGTTGTATGAAGTTCATTTTCCTAACGAGAAGGCCATGAATTTGGCAGAAAACTGCATATTCTATTGCTTAAAAAGTGGTGTATGGTTATGCGAGCTTTCTTATACCTTGTTTTCATTGTGATTTCGTTCATTAGAGGAAACTGCTGGCTCGAAACCGCCCTGGGCCAGCGAAGTCTTCCACAACTCCGGGATGGGGAAATTGGTACCAGGTTGGTTTGACATCAAATCACTGCCACGAATCCACGTGGCAACGTCCTAGAACGGCTATTTCAATATCCCAAGGAGAATGGTTCGACAAACGTTCTGGGAAATTCATAAGAAAAACAAAAATTCTGACGTACCAGCTGAACCCGCATGGAATGATTTCGAAGACCTTCTTGAAGTACGAATGCGAAGAAACGAATCGAAAGCAAGAAGTGCTAGGACCAACCAGCTATTGGCAACATGTCGTGCTAGGGTCCTTATTGTATCATTAACATATGTTAAGGCTTTTTAAATCCAGCTTACAGCTGCTCATGCTTGCCCAGCATACATGAAGTTGTTGTTTAATGCCAGTTCGTCGAACAGCTAGGACCAGAAGATTCGACTCGATACGACTCGACTCTTGGTAAGGCACATAACGCAAGGACGAATGGTTGTGAATAACCCGCTCGGATCAATCCGGCTCTGAACAAGGCGAAGGCGCCGAATCTTATGCTAAAATATAAGCTTTGTAACAACCTCATGTAAGCTGAGCGTCTTAAAAATTTATTAATCATTCACACTGATGTTAATTAAAAGTCAGTTTGCAAAAATACTGTTATTTGAAATTTCTTGTATTCATCATCGGCCTCTAAACTGAGAGCAGCCGAGTTTAACTGACGTTCTTATTGCTCTAGTTAACGTTTCTTTGTCAAAAATTTCATAACCACAATGGTGCTAAGATATTTTCAAAACTCAGGACCGCAGTTGTTTGCGGTGGCGATCGAAAACGATATTACCCTTTCCGGGGTTAATCACGTTCACCACCACACCATGCGGGTCTTTCGTTTCGCCTTCCTCCGAGAAAACAAATTGTACTTTGACGGCATGTGGGGCGAAATGGTTACCCAAATATGGTAGGCATTTGAGGTTTGGAGGACAGTTTTCGCAGCTCGAATATCGGGATTCCTTTGCGATTCGTTCGCCTGAACCAAAAGGTGTATACGAGATTTTTCATGTCTTATTTATTTCTGGTCTACGAGAACACAAATTACTTTCCGTCCCAACTTGCAGGAAAAAGTTCGTCCTACGAATATCAGCCAACTGAGGAGATCATGCAATTATAACGTAGCCACCTTGCGTCTTCTAAGACATCCAGTCCTCTCATACATAGCAAGTGACTATGGACACGATGGACGGTCAGGACGAAACCGCATGGTGCTGTCGTACAACATTTCCAATTATTTTACAACGTGTTCCATATTTTGCCACTGAGAATTTGCAGCACACCTCTCTCGGCCGGAAACGATCTGTCTTAAATGTTGGCGCAGAGAAAACGATGTGTGAAAGGGGAAGAAAAACTGTGTTCTTATTTTAAAGATGGGAGGAAGTATTGCTAACGTAAGGTGTAATAGCACTTTACGATTACAAGAACTTAAGTTTTACATTCCTCCCAAAGGTTTACCACCTCATCGTGGATGGGAGGTGTTCTTGAGTGTCGGACTGCGAGGTACAGCGGGGGATTCATCAACCTGCCAGGGTCTGCC